CCCCCCCCCCACACACACCAATTGGGATTCAGGACGCCCCGTCGGCGTGGACTCGGGTGCCTTGGCCCCCGGCTTTCCACGGTCGCAGGCCTGAGCTGTCTGGTCTCGGATTCCCTCCGACTTTTCTCCTAGATTGCTGCCTGTCATTGTTCTCGCTGCCAAATGGGGATGCTCGGTGAGGGCGGCCGAGTTGGGGTTTTCTCAGCAACACCAGGCCTCTCGGGCTGACCCCCGGGCCCCCAGCCCCCGGGCTCTGACTTCTTCAGGTGGCTGCGCGGATTTTCTTTCTTTCTTACCGAGTAGTATTTTATTGTACAGGAGCCACGCCCTAGTTTCTTAAAGGCGCGGCGCCCTGTTTGGCCACGTGTTCTCGCTGCTGCCGGTGTGTGGGAAGCCTCCTGTGAGCCACCTATTTTTTTTCCCGCCCATTTTTCTGGTCCATCCTCCCACCCCCGTCAAGGATTTAGGGATGCCCGTGGGGAAGAAGGTGATCGGGACTGGCAGCAGTGCTGTCCCCATTGCTGCCGCCGCTGCCCACTCCGGGATCCGGCGTTTGGAGACCAGTGAAGGGGCTTCAGCCCAGAGAGATGAGGATCCCGCGGAGGAAGGGGAAGAGGACCTGCGAGATGGAGGTGTCCCTTTCTTCATCAACAGAGGTGGTCTGCCGGTGGATGAGGCCACCTGGGAGAGGATGTGGAAGCACGTGGCCAAGATCCACCCTGATGGGGAGAAGGTGGCGCAGAGGATCCGCGGAGCCTCCGACCTGCCCAAGGTGAGGTGGGGTGGCGGGGAAGGAGGTGAGCCCTGGGGTTGGTGACCTTGGTGCTAAAGGGGCGAGCCACACACTTCTTCCTCCAATGCATGGTGTTGGAAATAAATGACAGGTGGGGAATGCCATTTTAGAAATAAAGACAGTCATTCCTATTCCAGAACTTTCAGTCCACTGCTGTTGGGATTGTTGTATGAGGTTCAGGGCCCTGTCTCCGGAGGTCCTTCCCTTCCCAACCCTGGGGATTTTATAGGTGGGACCACAGATCCGAACTAGCATACAGACACATGCGAAGACAGAGACCTATGAGCAGAGACATCATGCATGTGTCTGTGGAGACAGGGCTCTTTCTAGGGTGAGAAACTATTTTCTTGCATTATCTCACTGAAGTCTCTGAAGGACATGGAGTTTAAGTCCCTGTTTTACAGATACAAAAGCTCAAAGTAGAAAGTCAAGCACCCACAGGCAGTAAGTGGCAGGGCTGGGGCTTCATGCCAGGTATTTGGCCTTCAGGTTTCCAGCTCTGTTCAGGAAAATTAAAAAGAAGTGCTCTGGAGAAGCGTTGGAGACTTCTCTACATGAGCTGGAGCCTCTCCTCAGCAGCAATCCTTTGGTTGTGTCTGTGTTGTCAAGAAAGAAGCCAGAGGCTGTGTCTCACTCATCTTTGTCTCTCCAAGCTCTCCTGTGTGCCTGGCACAGAAGGAGCACTGTGTATTGGAGACTGTGGGCTGTACAGTGCTATATGGCAAAGGGTGCTTTTTAAAAAAATATGTTGATGTCTAAGGAGGCACTGTTCTCAATGTACAGCCGTCAGAGCTCAGTGCTTGGTCCTGTGCACTCTGGTGAGAAGGGAGGGTGCAGGGACATGGAGTTAGTGTCACACAGAGGGGGGCAAATGGCCTGTTTGGTTTTCACCAGGTTACTGGTAGAGCTGTCAGGAAACGACCCCTGGGGGTTGGGGCAAGGCGGGAGAATCAGAGGTTAAAGGTTAAGCTGCAGTCTAATGTTTCCAGAGGGGAAAATGTAGGTTGATGTTAAATGACTGCATCATTGTCCTCTAGATTCATAATTTATTTAGTTCATACATGGTCATATATCATGATCAATATTTTCTTTAAATGATCATGGTACTGAATACTCTAAAGCATAAATTTTGGGATCCAGCTCTGATTCCTCCTCCTTTCCCTCTTGAGATAAACTGGAAGAGAAAGTATTGTGGAAAAAAGGACGTGTGCATTAGTTTGGCTCACCTGCCTGTCTTTGTGGCCTTAGGCAAGCCTGTTTGAACCACAGTGCTCTCATCTGTAAAATGGGGTTGGTTGGGGGAAGATGGAATCAGAAATCATGTGTTAAGGCACTTGACAAACTCCCCCTGCCCCAAATACTGGTTACAAGCATTCTACTTTTTCTCCCTTCCTTCGTAAGGAGGGAAGACTGTATGGCACGGAGAGCATTTGTGTCAATGAAGCGAAAGCCACACGCTTGTCTCACATGGGCAAGTTGGCTGAGCAGACAGCTCTCCAGCCATCTTGCTTATGTCTGAATGGCTTCCTAAAACTCATCGCTCCTGGGAACTGAAAAATATGTGCCCTCAGATCATCTTCAGTCCTCAGTTTCAGTAAAGACATGGAAGAAGGCGTAAAGCTACTGAGGGAGCGGGGTGGAGACAGGACTCCAGTCAGGTAGAAGGAATTTCATGAGAAATTTGGGGATATTTTGAAATTTCTCATCCTCAAGTCTTTGGAAAAGTGTCTCAGATGGAGAAGGTACTTTCCTTCCATGTTCCAGAGCAGAAAGGAGTCAATCAGGTTCAGGTCTGAGAGGTGTGAAGGATCCTGGGAGGCTTTCAAGAAGGGCAGCTGTGGCTGGATGCCGGTCTACCAGCTGTAGAGAGTCTCCCCCTGAGTGGTCATGCAGGTGGGGCTGGCACAGAGGCATCTGCAGAGATTGTACTAGGGTGAGCCCAAGAAGGGCTTTGTTGGGGCTGCACAATGTCTTTAAAGACTGCATGAGCCAGAAGTTAAAATTGGAAGATTTCGCACATAAGGATTCGGGGTTCTGGCGTCTTTACAGAAAACAAAATTGGAACAGAGAATCTGCAATCCTACATGGCAGCTGGCAACTGGGGCTGAAGAGAGATTCTCTTTCCCCTACTTTGCCACAAGCCGCCTCCCCATCCCCCATCTTCCCAGCCTGCCTTTTGGGTTTGTGACCTGCCAGGTGTCTGCAGTCAGCTGCATCCTGAGGTTTCAGGGTAGTGTGACTAAAGGAGAGCACTCTGGAGTGAGACCCACAGTGTTCAAATCTTTGCTTTTTCATAACAGTCTCCTTGCCTCTCACTTTCCACAGCTATCAAATAGGCACAGTGGCAATGCCTGCTACGGAGGGAGGTTGACAGGAAATGTTGATATAATGCATACCATACCTCATTAGGTGGGCATCTAATAGGTGCCTATTAATGCAAAAGGAGTAGGCATGCAGCACACCAACCCATAAGCACTTAGGGAAAGAGCCTCTGTAAGGATGACCCTGATATGGTAAATGACTTGTTTCTAGAAGGATCTCAGTGCCTGCAGCCCTGCATGCTCTCCTGGATATAAATCTTTGTGTTGCAGGTTGCCATCATCTTTACAAGTCTCACAGCCACTTAACCAGGCTCACTGGTTCAAGTTCTGACTGTGGGTCTGGTTACTGATGCCTGCAGAATGGGAATTGGGATATCTCTGAAAGGGTCACATTGTCTGGGTCCTATCTTTGGTACACACCAGATGGTTGTCAGGAATCGCATCTTTGCTCTGTGCCAGGCCCTGTTCTGAGTGTCTTCACACAGCATCTCAATGTCATTCTGTTACAATGCCCATTTTGGAAAGTGGGCATCTGAGGCCTGGGAAATTCAGGAGCATCATGAAGTCAGAGCTGGGATTCCACAGTGTCCAGTGCCTGCATCTTCTCTGCCCATCTCTGGGCCATCCTGCCTCTTGGCCACACATCCAGATGCAGATGCTTTGCTTTCTCCAGGCCTCCTTATTGCACTGGATGGAGAAGCTCCTCCAACTCAGAGGGTTCTAGGCCTCATGGCTGTCAATTTCTGAAACAAGGGACATGATATTCTTGACCTCGGCAGTAGAAGTGGAACCATCCCTGAGCACCCCTAAATGTACCCACTTAATTCCACCCCTCAAAGGCAAGGAAATGTGAGGTGCTGGTAGCTCATGCCCGTAATCCTAGCTACTCAGTAGGCTGAGATCTGAGGATCACAGTTGGAAGCCAGTCTGGGCAGATAAACCTGAGAGACCTTTTATCTCCTATTAACCAGAAAAAAGCTGGAAGTAGAGGTGTGGCTCCAGTGGTAAAGCACCAGCCTTGAGCAAAACAAACAAACAACAACAGCAACAAAAGCCAAGTGATGCTCAAGGCCCTAAGTTCAAGCCCCAGTACTTGGCACCAAAAATAAAAGGCAAGGAAGTTTTTCCTGACCCTCATTTTCAGGGGTAGGAATGTAGGGCTTGTGGGGACCATCCGGATAACCAGGCCCAAACTGGCTTGGTCATCTGGATGCCCAGTGTTTCTTGACTATGTGTGTGGGTGAATCTGTTTGCAGTGAACATTTGGGGATAGGTGAAGTTACATGGGGTGACATGACTCAAGGAGCTTGCCAGATAGCTCCCTCCAGCTTAGTGATGGTGGCCTTTGAAGCCTTCCTTGGGAATCTCAGCTGGGTTTTGACTTGGCTCTTCATAAGCTTGGGTAAATGCTTCTTGGACTCAGGCTCCCTCTCAATCTGGAACTTTCCCTGGGAGGGTACCTCGCATTCCTCCAGGTGGCTGGATCCCCACTTGACAAGCAAGTAGAGATTATCTTGCCATGCAGAGAATGCCACCTGAGGTGAAGTGACCAGGTGGATGTGCCATGCTGTTTACAGGAAACAGTAAGTCCTGTATACCATTCCCACCTTGCCGATCAAATATCCTCCTCACAGGGGAGGCCAGCCAGGCCTTCGGAGAGTTCTGGAGTCCATTTGGCACAGGGTGGGCAGGAGGAAGAGGCTTGTTTCCTTCTGGTGACTGTAATATCTGGCTTCAGTTGGAGGAGGGGAGCAATGTGAAAAGGGGAAATAGCTTCCCCAGGCGGAGAGATCAGCTGCTGGGGACTGTCCAAACAGGAAGGAGAGGACTGTCCAAAGTGGTGGGGAAGCAAAGGACTGTGCCTCTGGAGCCAGGGCCCTTCCCCTCTGCATTTCCACCCAGCAAGAATATCTGCTAGATACTGTCCCTGCTCCCCACCATCAGCAGCACCCCAGGCCTTAGAGTGTGCGGATAACTGGCATGCCACTTCACTTCCTGTCAGAGCTCTTGGCAGCCACATGATTTCAAAGGCTGTGCCCTGTAGGCTCAGCCTCTCCAGAACTGGAGAAAGGACCAAGGAAAAGAAGGAAGGATCGCAAAGCCTCTCTAACACACCCTGAGTTTGCACAGGGGCTTCTGATACTCCTTTTCTTTTCTTCTTCCTATACCTGCAAATATAGGAGAGCTATGTGGCCTTGGGAGGCCAGGGGGTGGCCTATGAGGTCTGTTCTCCTTGTGAAGAGTCTAAGGCCAGCTCACAGCTGGCTGTGCTAGAGACAGGAAGAGCCCAGAGAGATGGGCCTTGTCCCCATGCGTCTAGTTCTTCTGTACAGGAAGTCAGTTCTGAAACCCCAGAGGCCCCTCACTAGTGCACCTCCCAGCTCCCTGGGCCTCTCTGACTTAACTGCATAGCTGCTTCTTTCCTGGACATTTCCTGATGTCTGGGGCACTGCTGAGGTTCTGCCTTTTCCTATCTGACTCCCAGCAGCTCAGCGGCCACAGCCTACTGACTCATCCTCTGTCTTCCCTTTGGGGCTTGGTGCTGGGAAACCCCTTCTGGTGGGGAGGACTCCCTTGTCGCCCTGTAGTCTGTACTATTTGAGGTCTGGTGCTGGTGAGCAAATGAGATGTTGAGGAAGCCTAGGCCTCTATGCTTTTATGAGACCTCCAAAGTGACCATGCCCATTTGCATGTATACATGACCAAACAGACTAAAAAATATGGTATAGGAAGGGACAGGGTTCCATGGTATAACCCAACTGAACAGTGGACAGACAAGTCATCAAAATGGAATACTTGGAGGGAGTTGGAACTGAAGGGGAAGGGGAGGACAAATGGAGAGAAGAAGGGTGGGCACATACGGTCACAATACTCAATGTACATGTGTGAAAATGGAACTAGGAAACTTGACAGTGGGGTTAGGATAGATGGAGGAGGCCAATGATGGCAGTGGTGACATGGATCAAGGCGCATTGTACTTATACATTGACACAGGTTGACTTCAGACCCCTTTGTACAAGTATTTAAAGGTAATTTTTAAAGAGAAACAAGAACGATGTGTCCCACGTCATATGATCAGAGCTCTTTCTCTGTCCCCAGATTCCCATACCAAGTGTGCCTACTTTCCAGCCGACTACGCCTGTCCCCGAGCGCCTGGAAGCTGTGCAGCGCTACATCAGGGAGCTGCAGTATCCTCTGGTCCACAGCTATGACCACCACTGGTTGGAGTGAAGGCCCCAAAGCCTAAGTGGGGCTTGTTTCAGACAAGGCTGGAAAGAGATCAGCAGAGCTGCCTCCCTCCCTAACTCCAGAGACTCGATTACCAGCCATCTCTGTATCTCTGTGTTCCCTGGAGCTGAGAGGAATTATTTGTCTGCTGAGTGCTGGCCCTCTTGTTCTCTCTCTCTCTGTCTGTGTGTGTGTGTGTGTGTGTGTGTGTCTGTTTGTGTGTGTCTGTGTGTGTCTGTGTCTGTGTGTGGCTGTGTGTGTGTCTGTGTCTGTGTGTCTGTCTGTCTGTCTGTCTGTGTCTGTGTATGTCTGTGTTGGGATAAAGAGAGGGAAATGACACTGAGCAACTTGCTAGGGAAGAGATGGCCTCAGTTTTCCCTCATCCCTAGGACTACTGAAAATCTGACTATAAAGGTAAGGGAGAAGAAGAATTATTTATGTTCCACATCTTGGAATTTTTTCTCCTGACTCTTGCCTTTCTCTTCCCTCACAAGAGGGCAGTTGCCATCCTACAAAGAGCTGGCCTCCATGAGTCCCCATTCTCCTGCGTCCCCTTGCAGGGGACCTCCAGCCTGAACCTGTTTACTCACCCTGGCCCCTACCTCTCATACAGGTGGAGTTCAAGGTGGGAGAACTGGGTATGGGTCCCCCGTGGGGAAAGGCCAGGCAGGTGACTAAAAATGCTGTGAGGGGAAGTGACTGGCTGTAACTGGATTCCCAGTCTTCTCTCTGCTCCCATTGCTTCTTAGCCATTGGGGGAAAGACTGGCTCAGAATTCTGTCCTAGGAAAGGAGTCCAGGAAGAAAAAAACAAGGGCCAAAGATGAAAGGAGGAAGGAGAGGGAAGTAGAAGGGGAAGGAGAAGCTCCATGCTGTGTCCCCCTTTCTCCTCCTGCAGAGTCCCAAGTCCTGAGCATCCCACCCAGCTGCCCTGTGACAGACACTATAGGATCCTTACCCAGCCTGCATTGGGAAGCTGCTGGGCTCCAGGGTCTGCGGGAAGGGTGGGGAAGGGGTGAGGAGGAGGAAAGAAAGGACACCCTCTTTCAGACCAAACCAGAAAGCCCTTAACTAGTACCCAAAGGTACAATCACACAGGGACACAGTTCTTTGAAATTAAGAAGAGCAGACCTCTGACAGGGTAAGTATGGAGGCCTATCTCCCAACTGGGCTCATAGAACCCCCAGGCTGGGTTGGATGGCAAGGGGGTGCTCTGAGGTTTACTTTTAAGTAACAGCTTAGAGGGCAGATAGGGACTCTCATCAAGGAAGTCCCTTGGGCAGGTACCACCCTGCGTTCCTAAGGATATCATAAAGAAGAAGAAAAATCTATCACAGATGGACAGCAGAACTACCAGGATGAAAGGAGAGGAAGCCAGAGGCTGAGTCTAGGGGCTCTGTCCAGAGGAACCAAAGCCATAAAACCCCTGGGCATTAAAAGTTAATGTTAACCAGGTGCCAGCAGCTCATGCCTATAATCCTAACTACTCAAGAGGCTACAATCTAAGGATCATGGTTTGAAGCCATCCCCAGACAGGAAAGTCTATGAGACACTTAACTAATCACTTAAAAACCAGAAGTGAGCTGGGTGCTGGTGGCTCATGCCTATAGTCCTAGCTACTCAAGACATTGAGATCTGAGATCATAGTTTGAAGCCAGCCTTGGCAGGAAAGTCCGTGGGACTCTTATCTTCAACAAACTACCCCCAAAAAAGCCAGAAGTGGAGCTGTGGCTCAAGTGGTAGAGTGCTAGCCTTGAGCAAAAAAAGAAAAAGGGGCTGAGAATGTGGCTTAGTGCTAGAATGCTTGCCTAGCATGCATAAAGCCCTGGGTTCCTCCGTACTACATACACAGAAAAAGCTGGAAGTGGCGCTGTGGCTCAAATGGTAGAGGGCTAGCTTTGAGCAAAACAAGCTCAGGGACAGTGCTCAGGCCCTGAGTTCAAGCCCCAGGACTGGCAAAAAAAAAAAAGAAGAAAAAGCAGCAACAGCAGCTCAGGGATAGCACCCAGGCTCTGAGTTCAAGCCCAGGACCAGTCCCCACCTCCCCACCCCCGCCCCGCAAAAAAAAAGCATGAAATTTTCACATCTCTCCATGTATACTGTTTGCATTCTCAAGAAAGATGCTTTAAATGATTACCTAATTGCCCCCTTTCAGAGCCCCTGGGTGGAACCCAGCCTCCCTGCCAAGCTTTGCTCTGATTTTGCAGCTGTTGAATGCTGGGGTCCCGCAGAATCTGGCAGGAGATGCTAGAGTCCAGGCAGCTTCCTGGGCAAAGCCCCAGGGCTGAGGGTAGCATTCAGGGAGGAAGGAGGAGCCAGCCCTGGAGGACTGGCTGTCTGGAAATGGCCTGAATTCCAATTTCAGGAGCAGGCTGGGCAGGCACCAGGCAACTCTGAATGGGGAGCACTTGCCATCAGTCAGCAAGCTCTTCCTAAAGTGTGGTTGAGTGAGAAATGTCCAGTTTACTCTAACGGGGACAAGAGCAATGCCAAGGTCTCTGCCTCCACCTCCACTGCCTTGTAAGCACAATGGCGCTCAAGTTCTGGCCTCCATTCATGCACCCCTCCCCCAGAGGTCTTTGTGCTACAGCCTGAGTGGGAAGAGTAGGTGAAAAGAGGAAAGGGAATGGGAAGTAGGTCTCCTTCTTGATGGCCCTTGGCTGCCTGCCTCACCTCCTCAGGCTCCAGACTTGGGGGAGAGGAGGGAAGGTCTGCCTGGGGATGAGACTCCATTTATCTCCCTCTTCCCTTCTCACAGACTGATGGACTTGGCCAAGGAAATGACCAAAGAGGCTCTGCCAATCAAATGCCTGGAAGCCGTGATCCTGGGAATGTATCCTTCCTCTGGCCTCAGCTTCCTGCTCTGGAAGGGCGAAGGGATGGAGCCTGATGGAGGTCCAGGGATTCTCCTTCCCCCTCTCCCCCATGCAGTCCTGCACTTGGCCCCAGGTGAAGGAGCCTCTTCCGGGCAGAGGAGCCTCCAAGTTGAGTGATCTCGCCAGGGTGAAGAAGTCTCTGAAAGGATGGAGAACTCGCCCCAAAATGAAGTGGCCTGAGGGGCTCGCTGCCTTCCCAGGCTTGCCGGGAAGCTCTGTTTTGAGTCTTGTAGACACAGTTTTGTCCAGTTGGGCTAAACAGTCTTGAGAGAGAGAAGCAATCGAGAGGCCCAGTGTTGGCACATCTAGGACACGTATGTTTATAGAGTCTTGAAAGCAAAGATGTGCACAGGGTTTCCCAGCCAGTGTCTGAAGGGCAGAAGTAGGCCTGTTGCTCAGTCAGAAGCATTGGTCACCATGGGGACAGACAAGCTCCCAGGAGAGACTGCCCTCCACAGAGCCCCCAGTTTTTATGTATAACACATTGAAGCTTATACAAGCAGAACACTGTCATGAATCCCTGTGGGCCCATTACTCAGCTTCCCAACTTGAGGCCAGTAGCTTTTACCTCCCTTCTCCTATTACCACCACTGTGTTCCCTGCTCCAGCCTTTGAATAGGTTGTCAGTCACCCAGGAGCAGGTGTCCGGCTTAGAACTCAGAGGACCACGGATTAGGGGTGGTAAGGAGGGGAGGAGGAGGAGCCTAATGGGACAGGGGATCTGTCCCTAGGACCTGCACCAGGAGGCAAAGGCAAGGAGCCTGCTTTTCAGAGGGGCTGTGATCCAAGGGTCATGCCCACCCATTCTTAGCTTAGGTTTACACAGAGACTTCGGGCTCCCCTCCCCACAGAGGTCTTGAGTGCTACCTGCATCGTGGCAGTTATTTGTAACTGGGCAAAACCACTTTCAAGAGCCCTGCCAGTGTTGCCCTGTTTATACAGCGTCTTTTTCCAAACCTTCATTGTGCACACAGGCACAGCCTGCTATAGGCAAAATCAAGGTTTTAAGACCATCCTGGGGTTGCCTGCCAGTTTTGGGGCACCAAGAAAACAGAAGCAGTTCCCTTCTGGGTGAGGGGACCCTCTCTAGTGTCCCCATTGTCCCAAAACATTGTGAGCCTCTGCCGGGTGGCGCTGTGTATTTCTTTCATATCAAGGGACCGGGCTCAGTGAGTACCAGTAAATCAGCTTGCCTATGTAGGTGTATGTAAGTATGATTATTGTCTTCAAGTAGTTGTAGAGAACGGTTTTGATTTTACATGTCCGCTTATGTGCCCAATGCAACTAGAACAATGTCACCTCTTCCATCATTCTTCAGCTTGGTTCTTGAAGGTAGTTTGGCCTCAGGGCACTGACTTTGGGCTCAGACTAGCTGGGCTGGAATCCTGCCTCTGAGCCTCAGAGTCCCTCCTCTGCCAAAGGAGTTGTGTGTGTTTGGGGGGAGTAATGATAGTATCTGCAGAAGAGTCTTGGGACCCCGAGTTAGTCATGCGTGGAAGGCACAATGTCTGTAAGTGGTGGCTCTTCCATATTTTAACCCATCATACCCATGTGTGCAGGAGTTCTACAGAGTAACTGTTAAGTGCTGTCTCTGTGCTGAACCCTAGAGAAATGGCAAAAGATATGAGTTCCCTGTCTGCAAGACACTTACATTCTAGTGGGAGAACCAGGAAAAGCAAGGAAACAAAGAAAATACAGATCGCACTGTAAGGAGTGCAGTAGACTTGCACTTGTGAGGGTGATGCCAGCCAAGCCTGAGGCCTGTGCAGGAGAGGAGCCCTCAGGGGTGAGGCCCAGGTGGCTGGAGAGGGAGAGAAGTGGGAGAATGAGCGGTGTGACAGTCTGGAGTGGGCGTGGCGCTGGCCATTGCAGGCCTCTGAGCTATGGTGAGGTGCTTGATTCTATTTAAGGGCAGTGGAGTTGGGGCAGGGTGGGGGTGGGGGGAGACCGAATTGTCTGCATCTGTGAGGAATTCCATGTGTGCAAAAGGAAAAAAAATGATGGAGAATGTCTCTGAAGGGCCCAGAAACTGAGAAGTGAATGATTGACAGGAGCAGGGAGAGGAGGAGAGAGAAGGGTAAAAGGAGGAATGTTCGGAGGCCTCTCTTGTCCCTGCTCCAGCCACATGAGCGCTAGAAAGCCCGGCCTCTTGAGTGGGGAACCTTTGTTAGTATTATTCGGAGATCACTAACTGACCACCTACAAGTGGCCACTAATGATGGCGAATCCTCTTCCCACAGAATTCACTTTATCAAGCACCTACTGTGTAGTAGTTTGACTGATAAGAGGGCAGGAATTTGGGGATGAGCAAGATGGAGTTTCTGTATTTAGATGCTGGTGGACTAGAGGCCCCTAGGGCTTATACAGGTCCCATGAATCAAGCTGTCACTGGCCCAGTCCTGGTTAGGTGCCTCTCCTGGCCCTTTCCTTAACTTGGGTGACTGGCTAGTTACCTCACCAACAGCATGCCCACCCTGGAACGCTTCCCCATCAGCTTCAAGACCTACTTCTCAGGGAACTACTTCCGCCACATCGTGCTGGGAGTGAACTTCGGGGGCCGCTATGGGGCCCTGGGCATGAGCCGGCGTGAGGACCTGATGTATAAGCCGCCTGCCTTCCGCACGCTCAGCGAGCTTGTGCTGGACTATGAAGCCGCCTATGGCCGCTGCTGGCATGTGCTGAAGAAGGTGAAGCTGGGCCAGTGCGTGTCCCATGACCCACACAGCGTGGAGCAGATCGAGTGGAAGCACTCGGTGCTGGACGTGGAGAGGCTGGGCCGAGATGACTTCCGCAAGGAGCTGGAGCGCCATGCCCGAGATATGCGGCTCAAGGTCAGGCTCTGCAGACCAAGGGTGGGGAGCTGCTTCCCTGAGGGACCTGACACCAAGCCCTTACCCTGCTTCCCATGTGGTGTGCAGATGGAGGGCAATGGGCTCAGTGGTGTCTTTACACTCAGGGTAGGGCTCCAGGCAAGGTCTCTCACTGTGATGGTCCTAGGCTGGATAGATCAAGGACAGCTGGGGATGGAGGAAGAAGCTGGTGAGCTGGGTTTGCATAGTGGTAGGTCTTGGTCTTGAAGACAAGACAAAGCCCCGGTGCTTCAGGCCAGGAGACTTTAGAGTCAAGGTGGGTTGGTCTGATACCTTGTCTTATCTGGGAGCATGGCAGGCAAGGTGGTGAGCAACTTCACCCAGCCTCCTGTTGCCCCTGATTGAGCTCCCAGCCCACTGCCTGCAGTCAACAATCAGGAAGAGGTCAGAAGAAAGAGGGAAGTCAGACCATGGGAGGACATTGAGCATGGTAGTGAAGGTAGGGAGTTTGTTGTACCTACAGCAATTGAGCAAAGGTGCTAAGAACCCTCCAGCTGACAGAATTTGGGGCTTTCTCTGGGTACCCCCTGAACAGGTGATGTGAATGGTCTGTCCCTCTAGGCGCCTCTACAGCCAGCTTGCGTACTTTCTCCTGACAGCTCCCAGAAGCCAGCAGGCGGGGGGCAGAGGCTGGTGGCAGCTGTTTTTTAGGGTAGGAAGCTTAGGGCTTTGCCATAGGCAGTGAGAGCAGACAGGGCTGGAGCTACTCCCCCTGAGGGGCATCAGGTTTGTCATGGGAACCTGCAGGGGTCCAGGCAGAGGCCTAGGCTTGGTGAGCCTTCTTCTAGGACTGACGCAGCAGCAGCTGCCCACCAAGTAGAAAAGGGGTATGCTGTGCTCCTGGGCGATCCTCTTCACTAGGGAGGTGGCTCTTGATGCTGGGAATAGCAGTATGTCGAAGGCAGCAGGTTGGAGCCAGTGGCTAGTGCTCTAGTGCTATGATTCCCAGGTCTCTTCCCCACTAAGGACTCCCATGTTATTCCCTCTGGCTCCCACACTGCAGCCCATGTTTTGAAAACTCAAGGCAAGATGATCATGCTGCATCAAAGATGATTCATTTGTTTTTCTCTCTTTTTTTTTCCTCTCTCTCCTTCAATCAGAGACAGAGCTATTAGTCTAACTTTTGATTGGCTCAACATAACCATGGCCATTTTGAAGGTGATAGGATCCTGGCTCAGAGCTGAGTAATGGGCAGGTCCTTGTCAGGCACATGTTTAGCTGGCCTGGGTAAATGGGCCTTTTCCTGAAAGCATTTTCCAGTTTGTGACAGTGGTGTGCAACTCCACCACTTCTGAATGACTTTCAGGCCTGGTGGGGACCATCCTGATGGCTTTAGTGCCTGGGAAAGAAGAACCCCAGACAAGGCAGTAGTCTCCTGAGGCTTCTTGGGCCCTGTCTAGGACAGCCTCCAGGGGTTAGTGGCTCTCCACAGGGCAAGGTGAAGCAAGGCAGGGCAGGGCAGGGGGGTTCTGGGGCAGCCCTGGAATATACTTTCCTTTCTTTCTTCCATCTAGATTGGCAAGGGGGCAGGACCTCCCTCTCCTACTAAGGACCGGAAGAAAGATGTTTCCTCCCCACAGAGGGCCCAGTCCAGCCCCCACCGCAGGAACAGCCGCAGTGAGAGACGGTAAAAGGAGGGACTTTGGGGAGGCGTGGGTGTGGAGGCAAAAGGTTTCTGCTTTCCCTCTCTTCCTCTGGCTTTGCCACTTCTCCCTATCCTTCTCCCTTTTGTATTTCTGCCCGAGGGCAGTGACTTGGGATTGAGGGTACCTTTGACAGTAACATGGTGCCATTTCCTCACCTGTGTGGACTGTCAGGGTCCAGACAGCAAGTCTGAGGCAGGAGCAGAGGCTGTGTGGGAGGTGGGACCGGACAGGCTCTTGAAGCTTCAAGCTCTTCAGTTGTCTGCTAAGGTTGAACATGACCCGTGGCTCTATGCTGCTTGGGTAGCTGATCTTGGACACACCTTTTGTCTGTGTGTAGATGGCAAAGGGGAAAAAAAGCCATAAAACACCAAGCTTCATGCTCTGATTCCATCCCTGTGTATTACTGTACTGTAAATGTAATTGTCATTCAGAGGCTACCTCTGAATTAAGGGGTATCTAGCAGACTCTGGCACCAGAATATCCACCATTGACTTGACCTGAGTCCTTTCAGGAAGATTTATACTGGAAGCTTTCTCCATGCCCTCCCTGCCTAATGAGGTAACCTCGTGTAAAAGGCAAGAGGCAGACAAGACAACGTGACTCCCACTTCAGAGAACAGACCGGCTAGTCTGAGAGTCACACTGCTTCCTGGCCTCTGCTGCTGCCCTGGAGAATGGGAGACAAGGAGGGGCAGCTACCACTTGTTCTTCTCTGCCATCTCCCTACTGACCACCCACTCCCCTCCTGCTTTCCCCTTCCCCCTTGCAGGCCCTCGGGTGAGAAGAAGCCTCCAGAGCCCAAAGCCATGCCAGACCTCAATGGGTACCAGATCCGAGTGTGAGGTGGATGCCAGCACTCCAGACCCTGTCCTGCTTCTGGAGGCCAGGATCTATCTGCTGGAACCTGCCTCGCTCGAGGCAGGAGCTGGTGATGGGGCAAAGCAAGAGGCTACAGGCAGGGTGCATTGCAGCTCAGCCCTCAGGCTGCTCTCCTCCCATTGGAGCCAAGCCCCTACCTTTGGGCCAAGATTCAGTATTTTCTTCAGTTTTTAGCTCTAGGACTGAAGTTTAAGGTATTTGGGGGAAAAGGACAAATGGATGTGCTAATGGCTTGAGGAGGGCAAAGCTGAGAGACCTGAGAGCCATGGAGCTGGGTGGGAAGGCTTGCTGGTCCTGCCACTGCTCCTATGCACAGACCCATGGGAAGTTTCCTGACCCCGCCAGTCAGTAGGGGAAGGTGGGGTAGGGTGGAGGTGTTCATTTCTCCAGCTAGGCCTGTCCTGGTGGAATCTTGACCAAGGGAACTGGAAGCAGGGTTGTATTCTTCCTAGAAAGGTCTGGGTGGCCCATAATCAGGGAGCTTGCTGCAAGCTACATCTGCCCAAGAACCAGCCTGTGGGCCCAGAGTGCCCTGGAGTGCCCACAGCTCCAGAGGGAATGTATGAGCCTGGGCCATGGCCACCGGGGCCACCACAGGAGAAGAGGCTTCTGCCTCTAGCAACTCAGGGGCTCCCTGCAGAGGGTCTGGGCTTTGCAGATGGCTCAGATTTGCACTGTGGACAACGTGTTTGTGCAGACCAAGCAGACCTTGATGCCATGGCTGGGCATAAGGTAACAGCATGAAACCCTCAGGCCTGGGTCATTCCTCTGACAATGTTTAAAATGGGCTCTATTGTCCACCCTACCCCCTGACACCTCAGCCCTTACTGAGGAACTCAAGACAAGATAGACCAAGATGCCTGTGCCCCAGGACTACCTCTCCTGCTTTCAAAGCCTATGTAGGCTTGGGTGGCAGTGATGGCTCGTCACATTTGGCAGGGCCTTGGGGCGCTTGTATCTACCTAAGAGCTGCCCAGATAGCAGGAGTTGACCACATTCTATGAGGCATGTGATGGAGGAAGATAATGTGGAGAGAAACAGGCAAGGGGAGGGGAGGCTCTGGGCTCTAAAAAGGAGGGACAGAGTCTGAGAACTGGGGGTGTGTGAGGGGATGTGGGAAGTAGTTTAGGAACAGGCTGTGCTTAGGGCTGGGTTCCCTGACTGCACAGGGCTCTGGAAGCTGGAATTCAGATTGTGCAAAGGCCAGGTGAGGTGATCATGAAGGGTTGGTTGGTTGGTTTCCTGAAGGGCTATGGGTCAGCAAGGAGCAACTCAGTAATGTTGTAGAGGGGACTGGAGTCCTGGATACGGGAAGAGTAGAACCAGGTTTGTAAACTCAGAATGCCTACAGGAATAGTAGGGGCTACACAGGAAGGCTGCAGGGCTTCTGGGTGGGGACTGTATCTCAGTAGAAGAGCTCCCACTGTTCTGTGCCCACAGTACTGGCTTAGGGGAGCCAGACTGTTTTTTTTTCTTCTGATTTTGTATGTGAAGTCTAACTCTTAAAAGTTAGCATTTGGTTCAAGAAATCCAGTATAGGTGACAGAGTGCCACTCTGTGACATGGGAGTGGAAAGCTTGTGCTGAGGACCCCCCACCCCAATGCTTTGAGTGGGAAGTATGACAGTTTTGAGTTTCCCAGGGCTAGGTGAGGCAGCTGAAACTCCTGGAAGGGACAGCTTCCTGTGTTCATCTTCTTTGCAGAAAAACCTGAGACCCCGTGTAGTTGCTGGGCACCAGAGGGGTGGAGTGAACTAGCCATGGTACAGCTGGGCTAGCCAGGAGATGGATGGGGCCTGGAGACAAAAACAAGGAAGAGAGGGAGGAGCAGGCATGCCTTTGCTGAACAGATGCTCTCCAGGGAGAGCACAGGGGCTGGCAGCTTGTCAAAGCAGCAGGTTTTGACCAGCCAGGCCCAGCTGGGTCCAGCCAGAGGCATACTGAGAGGCCAGCTGATCAGCTTCTTGCCTCCTTGGTTCATGGGTTCAGGGGGCCCTAGGGTGATGTCTAACATACCCCATACTACACCCCCACCAGACCAAGGGGCATGCAACTCCCTATGCCAATACAGCCCTCAGGGAGTAGGGTTCCCACATTCCCACGCTCACCTACGGGGAAATGGTTCATACTGGGAAGCATGAGGTTGAAACAAGCAGGGCCTAGATGTGGCTGATTGTTGAAGCCCAATGGGCCCAGCCATTTCTGGAAACCTCGGGAAATGACAGGGTATTGGGTAGAAGACGTGAGAGGGGCTAGGAGCTGGAGGCTGGTTGACATGGGGGCCCTAGGGTACGCTAATGCACAGGCACCCTCCTCTGAGCCCTTCAGGCAGGATGGAGGCTCACCTACTTGCTGTCTGTAGGAAGGCGTAGGTCCCCAGCTGTAATCCCCTAGTGCTTGCCCCTTCTCGGCCAAGACTCGGGCCTTCGGGGCTGGGCACAAGCCATAGTGGTGCTTTTTAATTTATTTGCAACTGTTTCTCATATGTAGCATCCCCTCCTCTCCTCTGAGCTGTTTACACAGGCAATGCTCCCTGGGGCTGGCCTGGTTGTAAGGCCTCTGGGGAGACAGAAGCAGGGACTTTGGGGCCTTAGTCACCATCCATGCTATCACTGCATCTCACTTCCTGTGAGGGACAGAGGGGGCCTGGTTGATATGACCCCAGCTTCCTCCCACCCATGCAAGCTTGTCTTCCAGCTCCTCTGCCCACCCCCTTAGGGTGAGGGAGATGCTAGCTGAGGTCGGGGTGAGGTAGAGAAGGCTGCTCAGTGGAGGTGGCCAGGACTGGGGAGGGGGGGAGGGGGGCTCTCTCCAAAGCCTGGTACTTTGTGCTAGGTTGTCAGGTCACAACATGGGGATCTAGCTTCAGAGAGTCTTTCCCTCTACCCGACTACCTGCCAGTCCGCTCCCTCCATGGCCTCACCACACCCTCATGTCCCGCTCACATCCATCATGCCAGACACCTCATTGTTATGTGGGCAAGTAGAAGCCAAGGGTACAAGCAGCAGCCCACTGGCCCTGCACAAGATGAGGGAGCCTAGGGCCAGGATACCGAGAAGCAGCAGCTAACAATGACTTCTAGCCACACTATCATTCCTTCCAGTATGAACTTGACTTCGTGGTTTGGGGAGTTGGTCTAATTGTGTCTGGTTGGATGCCCAAAGGCCTGTGGGCATGCGTGCATAGTTTTCCTACCTGGAAGGTATTCTGGCTTAGCATGGGTACCTTACAGACTCATCCTCTGCATGGTGTTCCTGGTTTCAGAGGACCAGGTTGATATGTTAATGGTGTCAAGGCATGAGTGGGGTGTGGGAAGTCACCCCACTGGGTACCACAGCTTCCCACCAGCATTTCCAGGCAGGCAGGCTGCACGGTGCTAGCTACAGGCCCATTGGTAGGACCCTCTCACCCCACGTTGGTGCTCTAGGGTCCAAAGCTTCCCTTTTTCCAGTCTGACAGAGGAGACCTGGGTGTACGGCTCTTGGGCCCCGTGATGATGGACTGCCCCTCCCCTAAGCCTTGTTGACTGCTGTGTTGTCTTCCCTTTTGTCCTTCCTGTCCTCATATCAGTATTGCCTTTCACTTTCACACTTCATCTCATTCCTGTTCTCACTTTTCGCTTGAAACAAATAAAAGCCTCCCCATCTCCACTTGTGTGGGCTGGACAGAAATCCCAGTGTGAAGCCATGTCTCCTTTTACTTGCGAGCTGGGGCTGAGTCCACTCCCAACCCCCACCAGAAGTGCCTCACTGGCTCCAGGAAGAAACTAAATGGAGGTAAGGAGAACCCAAAACAGGAAAGCTCCCCACAGCCATGGCAGAACTGGATTCTGGGTTTCATGCTCAGCCTGCTAAAGCCAGAGATCTCCAGGCCAGCTGTAAATGAGGCCCTCTCCCTCACACAATAGACCTTAGGTGTATCCTGAGCCCAGCTCTCCTGCCCAAGGCAACTGCCATCCATCCGGAAGGGGGATATCTCCCAAGAGATTAGCTTACTTTACGAAGTCATGGCAACTAGGAAACACTTCTAGATCTACCCTTCTTCCTCTCCATTGTCCAGACAAGACCAATGAGTTGAAATCAGATGCACATAGGATCTCAGACCCCACAGCATTTTTTAGCCTCAACCCCTCTCCCCATGCCTCTGTTCTGTCAGCTTAAAAGCAAATCTCAAACTTGTAAGAGAAGAGGTAGGATGCTTCCTATTCACTATTCCAGACAATCCCCACAAAGCCTGAGCTGGAAGTCTAGTTGAGCATAGCCAGCCCTCCTTGATTTCAGTGGTGTGGTAGTGACTGAGGTTGGGGACATGGCACTGGGAAGAGGATAGGCAATCTGTTAGGATCTGTTGCTGGCTTAGCTCTACCATTTCATAGATTTACTTACATTCAGCTAAGACAATACTCCCCAAGAGCCTTTCCATTAAAGTAACCAGAACCTTGTACTGTACAGCCTTATACAAGAAGGTTGTTTATACACTGAAGTGTGTACAAGACAGTGGGCCTGGCAGGTTGGGGAATGCCTGTGTCACAGATCCACTGGTTTATGGCACACAGTGCTGGGTAGCTTCCTTAGCATATGAACCTACGTGTCACTGTGAAGCTATACCACACTCAACCCAGCTTCCGGGGTGAGGGAGCTACCTCATTTCCTCTTGCCTAGTCCTCCCAGGCTTAACCTGTGCCTTCCTAATTTAGGCACACAACAAAACTGGGCTGATATAGGTAACACTTCTCAGAGCCCTGGAGAGGTTAAAGTTGTTCCACCTGGCTTTTAACCTTTTACTATGGAGACCACTGGCAATAGGATGCAGTTGCCCTAACAAAAATGAAGCAGACTGGCCCAGACGCACGTTGCCTTGTAAGTTCTGCTTCTAGGGACAAGGCACCAGATGTTGAGACCTGGCAAGGGGTAGAGAGAGGCTACCTCAGGTCAGCTGGAAGGCTAGCTCTGAGTAAGCCCATTTGACAACTTCTAGTCAGTAGCCAAAAAGTTTGGTCATGGGAAAGCTCTAAGGGTTTAAGAGTCTGTTCTTTCCACAGCTGTCTCATGAGGTCCCAAGCCTTAAGAGTTGTAGGAACTGAATGGGGATGGGACAGAAGGCAGAGTTCTCTACAATGACATGACACATGTGAACCCAGCAGATCCTCACTCTACCGAGCTGCCTTCTGGCTGACCTTGTCTTATAAGTTTAGTTTTGCACATTTGCTCAGGTGAGAAAAGGAGAGCTAGTGTTGAAACCCAAGGACTATAGTCAGCGCCACCTAGTGGAAAGTAGAGGAGTCAGCCTCTCCCACCCTAAGAGAAGGAAAGCTGCTGCACCATGCCTTATGTAACCCAAACCAATCCTCCACTGAGTAGCTACACCAGGCTAGGAACTAGAAAGAAAAGGCCAACAAAAACAATCACACTGTGGCTGACCGTTCCTCTTCTGGGAGTCCCACTGAAACTATGCTCCTCTCTGAGCTCCCTCCCAGGGCATAAGCCTCGTCGTAGGGAGTCTGCCCTACACGGTGCCTGTCTCCCCTCACTGTGTTCTGAGCTGCTGAGGCTGACAAGAAATGCACTCTCAGCGTGTCTCAGGGATTTGTTTTCTCAGATAAGGGTGCACTCTGAATAGCACCTGCACTGCCCCCTGGCTGTGCTGGTATGGACAATGAAATAGAAGCACCAAAGTGCTGTGCACACTTTTAGTGCCTGAGACATCCAAGGGGGTCCTGTTAGGGAAAGGGTTTTTAAAATCTCCCCAGCCCCTAGGTTCAACCATGCATATTGGGTGGGGACCACTATCCACCCCCAACTTCTACCATGACACTCTGAGAGTTTTAGCATCCCTTCCACAAACAGCAGATCTGAAAATTCCTCATAAATCAGAGTCTGACTTTAATTTCCACTTCACTAAGGGATGTAAAGTGAAGCACAAAGGGATTAAGTAACTTACCTAAGTCATCGACCAATGTAGCCAAGATGAGAAGTGTTGTCCTAACCCCTGGCTTCATTTTCCTTCTAAATCAGGGGATCCCGACCAAGGGAGTACAATGGAAGTGAGTGTACTTTAAGTAACTTAGGTCCCAGAGACTGATTCAGAGGTTGGGTCTGAAGGCTGAGAATCTGTTTAGGTAAGATAGAAAGCCACACTTGATTTCACAAGGCTTTAACAGGACTAACTGCACAGAGGCTGGAGAAGGATAGAAGTACCACAGAGCATAGAAAGTTACACTTGATTTCACAAGGCTTTGACTATACTAACTGCACAGAGGCTGGAGGACAGAAGTACCACAGAGTTATGCTCAATGAGGAAAAGTGTTTCCAGCAACAGATGGCCCTTACTCAGCCCTGGCTCTGGAATGCAAAAGAGAGGATCAAGAATACTCAACAAGAGGCATCTGCCACATCATGCTTCGCACAACTGCCGTAGTTCTGACCAGAAAAACTCACCCCATTTTCTGCACAGGCCTTTGTGAAATGCAGTGTGGGCTATAGGAGGCATGGAACACAGATGGAATAGAACAAAAAAGCAGCCAACTGGAGCCATTCTCACCTAATATGCTGGAGACAGAGAAGGCAGAAGTACGGGGGTGAAAGGACAAGAGGCTCCATTCAAGCTCTTCCTTCCAGGTCTCAGAACATAGGAGGTTCATTAGGGCAGCGTCTAGTTCTAGACTTAGATCTTGAGACACACACCCCTGACCCCAAGATCAGGCTCCTCAGTCTCTTCTTTGCTCACTTCAACTGCCAGCTCTTTCTCAACCCCTTCCAGGGTCTTAATAAAAAGACCAACAATCGTGGGGGAAAAGTAAACCTTTATTTGGAAAAAGCTGTTCCAGTTATGCAAGCTGCAGAGTGCAGTTTAAATGACCATTTTGAGTAAACCCCCATTTCATTTCTAAAACAGAAACAAGAAAACAAGGAAAAGATAACCTGTCAGCTCTGGCCCCCTGTCACCTTTATCATTTGAACCGACATTTCCTGGCAGACAGTGATGGATCCTCATCCTAGGAACCAACAAGGTACTGTCTTGAGACCATCTCAGGAGGTACCCAGGGAGAGACAGTGAACAGTGGGATGTGGACAGACAGGCCTGGGGCTCAGACAGGCACATGCCCAGAACCTAGGAAACAAAGCTTAAAATACATAGACAATGAAATTCTCCAGAACTTAGGCATGGAGAGCTTTATAGGCAGGAACACAGCAGCAGAATTCAGCTGGCTCTTTGGCTTTTGAATTAAGAACATTAACTTCTAGCCCACTGTCCTTGACTCCAGCCTCCTGGCCAGATCTCCCCAGTCTCATTCTGGAGACAGAGAAGGGCAACAGGAAGTCAGATAGGGCTAGCAGCTACTGAGTCAAGGAGCTGTGGGAGAAGCTCCCCCGACACCCTAGGCCATACCCCAGCAGTAAGAGTAAGGCGTGTTGGTGACACCGTGGGCATGAGGGGCTCCTGAGAGGGTCAGAGGATCCTGTGTTAGGGGTGGGGAAACAAGGACAACAAGCGCAAAGCTCTTGCTGGATAGAGAAAATCCTCAAGGACTTCCATCCAGTGCTGTCCAAAGTCAGCTTTTCACTAGGATGGTTTGGCCTGAGCTCAACAGCATTTCCTCTATAAAGTTGGAGGGAATGAGGGCAGGAGGCAGCAAAAGTAAAAAGTGGTGTGAGAGAAACAGAAAACTCTTTCCTGGGTGTGTACAGCAAAGTGAAGTATGAGGGCCTGGCTCAGATAATCAGTGGAACCTACCTGCTCTTTCCTACTGGTATTCCCACTCTTGCCCCATTCTGCAGAGTCCAGTGAGACCAGAGTTTCCCGAAGGTTCTTTATCCTTATACTTAATAGGTTTTAAAACTTCCCACCACTACCCCAGCCCACTGCATCCCACACAAGGGTTCAAACTTCTGCTTCCCTCAGGGAAGTCTGGGGAAATGGACAACTCCTAAAAAACTGCCAGGTGGATGGGAGGCTCTGATGTGAAGGTACAAAGCCTACAGGATGGGTAGTACATCCCCCCATCTGCTACCCTAGGCCATGAAGCCCATTTATTCCCAGAGCCCAGACAACATGTGTGCCAGGCTGGCGGGATGAAATTAATGAAACACCAAAGATAAAAGGAGAGAAGGTTCCACACCCTGGTTGCCATCTGGCAGCTCACAGCTACTGAATCATGCTCTTACCAGCCCCTGTTCCATAACCCTAATGCGGAAAGAGGGCTGGGCAGAGACAAGCATGCCCGTGCTGAGCAGTCCCACCCCAAGAAGATACACGCATCTCACACACACACACACACGCACACGCACACGCGCGCACACACACCTCTCTCTCACACGTGCATGCCTGGCAAGAGGGCTGGGCCCAGAGGTTACCACCAAGAAAAGGCCTGAAAGCAAATAACCAATGAGATCGATAGCTCCCACAACCCTGGTAATTCAAAATCAAGGGGGAGCGCTGGGTACATGGAAGGAAGAGGGACCCCCTCCCACCTCTCCCAGGGCCACTGAGCATGTGGCACAGGATTAGGAAGAGGTATGGGCCAGGCAGGGACCACAGGCAGAGAGCGTGGACAAGCCTGGAGAGTCTAACCACGGGCAGGAAGTAGGGAACAAGGGGAAGGGATGAAGTTTCCACAGCTCGGAGCATTTGTACAGTTGCTGATCCACTGAGCTCTTCCAGAAGAGAAGCTCTCTTCTCTAGGGGCCATCATGGGGCGGTGATCTCCATGCCAAAGCTGGCCAGCAGGCAGAGATGGTCTGAAGAGCAGAAAGGGTTGGGCAAGCCATTGGCAGCCCAGAGAATCTCTTCAGAGAGGAGGGAGAGTCGGCCCAGTAGCTTGAGAGTTCCATCTCGATACAGCCTGTCACCTGTGGCATAGAAAAGGAGCAGTAGGTACAGCAGCCCCAGCCGTGCGGCCTGGCAGGCAGGGCTAAGGACCCTTAAGTAGGCAGCATCCCTTTGGCTGATCCCTCACCTCCCCCTGAGGTTGTGGGCAAGGAAGCTTCATTTCCTCAGAGTCCCACCACTATGATGACATTAGTGAAGACAGATGGGTGCAGAGGGCCTGTGGCAAAATGGACACAGAGCCAGCGGTACAAGATCTTTTGACTTTCCAAGAAAAGCAGAAATGCAGACTTCTTACACAAAATCTGACTAAACATTGGCAATCAATGCAAACTTTCTAAAAACATACCTTAAACAAAATAGGCATGGGTTTGCTGAACCCTTCACTGTTACTTCTGTTATGGGGAGAGAAAGGAAATGGTTTGACCTTATCAACTGCTGCTCCTAAACATATCTGGTGCTCTGTTTTTATCTCTGAAATAGGGATAGAGAACAAGTGTCCCACCCACCACTCTGATACTGAGCAAGGATGAAGGCAGAGGCAAGCAGTGGTCTGTGGGAGAATGATGATGCCAGCCAGTGCCAGGCTGGCATGGTATGTGCCTTTGTTGCTCAGGTCCCAGCAGTCCAATCCAGGCTACCAAAGGCCTGACCTACCATCAGCTGCTCCTGAGGACCCGAGGTGGCTTCTATGAACCCTGGATCAACCAGGCTTACCAGTTCTGTTCTCATTCTCACAGCACTCAGCTGAGAAAAAGATGTAATCCACTGTCGCCCCAAGACCTAAGGGCATCGTGGTGACTTCTGGACGGCCATGTTGGGGCAGGAAGTGGGTATACACTGAGGTCAGGTGGAGGCAGTGCTGGATCGTGCCTACAATCCTATAAAGTTGAATGGAGAGATATAAGCCAACAACATTTCCCCAAGGTCACTTTCTCTGATGATTTTATGAGTACTTTTAAAAGAATGATTCCAAATGACTCAATTTCAGCAAATTGCTTCCCAGCCTGGTAAGAAGGAAGCGGTGTTAGCTAAAATTAGCCCAGAAGTAGACACACTGACATTCCTCATTTCAATTCACCTAATAAAGAATACTCAAAGCTCCACGAGCTCCCTGCCCCCATCCCCAGGAACAGATGGGCTTTCCCCACCTGCAAGAGTATCAGGGAATCATCTTGCGTCTGTATACTTATTTGCTCCCATGTAAAATTAGAGGAAAACAGAGTTTAGCAAAAGTGTTCCTTTCAAATCAGCCCCAATACAGCTAATGGTAATCTCTTATATCCAGGCAAGGGCTGGACTGAAGCCCAAAAAGAAATGGAGTAAAGTTTACCTGGGGAAGACAGGTTCCATCTCAGATGTGTTCTCCTCAAGGACAGATTCAGCCCAACCAGCAGGTCTCTCTGTATAGGACCAGACAGACAGAGAAAAAAAAAAAATATATCATCCATACAGAGTAAAGCAGAAAAAAACTTTTATCATCCACATAGAGTTAGAACCTTTCACCTTAAAATCCCTCTCAGATCCTTGACTAGATTGCTCCAGAAAGATCTGGAAGGGGAAAGGGAAAAAGAAACAGTGAGAAAGAGAAGAAGAAAACTATGAACCAAAATCAAGAACCTTAGCCTGCAAACACAGACACTGCATTCATTGGCTCAGCACTTTATTTTATTTAAAGAACAAGTCATACAAAGCTGAACATTGAGAGGTTGCGGCTGAGACCCTGTGTCAAGAAAATTAAGAAGAAAAAAAAGTGGGGTGGGGGCAGGAATGTAGCTTAGTGGTAGAATGCTTGCCTAGCATGCATAAAGCCCTGGGTTCAATTCTTCAGTATCACATAAAAAGAAAAAGTTGGAAGTGGTGCTGTGGCTCAAGTGGTAGAGTGCTAGCCTTGAGCAAAAAGAAGCTCAGGGACAGTGTCCAGACCCTGAGTTTAAGCCCCACAACTGGCAAGAGAAAGAAAGAAAAGAAAAGAAAGGAAGGAAGGAAAGAAAGAAAGAGAAAGGAAGGAAGGGGAAGAGAAGGAAGGATGGAAGGAAGGACAGGAGGAGGGAGGAGGAGGAGGGAAAAGAAAAGAACAAGTCATTAAACATAGTCACATAGTACAAAAATCAGTGTTTTCTTCCCATTTGCCACCAAATTCAACTCTCCAGAGGTAACCAATGTTACCAAGATCCTCATGACTTCTTTTAGAGATTTTCTATTACAAACCACTCACGGTATCTATATATACGTATGTTCACCATATATACATACGAAGAGAAAAAAAGATACAAATTACCAACATTGAGAGATGGGACATACTACACATCCTACTGACATATAACAAAGATCAACACTGACCAACCTTAAAGATAGACTAAAAAAAAGAACCTTCAAATTAGTAAAATTGCCGGGCACCAGTGGCTCATGCCTGTAATCCTAGCTACTCAAGAGACTGAGATCTGAGGATCTCAGTTTGAAAAGCCCGCCCAAACAGAAAAGTTCTCATGAGACTCTTATCTCCAACTAACCACTCAAAAACCAGCCTTGAACACAAAGAGGCACAGGGACACCACTCAGGCCCTGAATTCAAGCCCCACAACCGATTAAAAAATAACTAAAATGAGAAATGAAAGAGGAGCCATCACTACCAACCACAGAGGGAAAAGAAATCTTTAAGCAAATACTATAAACAATTGTATATAAATAAAATAAATAACTTAGATAAAATGGATAATTCCTGGAAAGCATAAAACTATGTAAAATGAAATGACTTAAGAAGAAACATAAATCTGATTAAGCCTATGACATATAAAGAGACTAATCAATAATTTAAAATATTCCCACAAAGAAAAATTCAGGTTTAGATGGCTTTACTGGTGAATGCTACCAAACATTTAAAGAAGACATCAGGAAGTGGTGCTGTGGCTCAAGTGGTAGAGTGCTCGCCTTGAGCTGAAGAGCTGAGGGACAGTGCCCAGGCCCAGAGTTCAAGCCCCCTGACTGACAAAAAAAAATAAAATAAAGAAGATATTATACAAAACCTTCACAAAAATGTTCAGGGCATAAGAGGAAGCACTGTGCAACTCATTTTATGAGATCAGTATTACCAGAACCAAAACCAAATAAATATATCACAAAGAAAACTACAGACTATATCTTATAAATCTAGACACAAAAATTCCTTATTAAAATACTATCAAACCAAATCTGTCAAAACATAAAAATGATTATATACAAATTAAGATTTGTCCCAGGAATATAAGGTCAGTTAATACATATTAATAAAATATTTAAGGAAAAACCCACATGATTATTTCAACAGTCAAGAGAAGACATTTGGCAAATTCCAACACCCTCTGATATTAGGAAACACTCGACATAGGCAGAAGAGAATTTCCCCAATGTTATGATGAAGGGAATCTATGAAAAAAAACCCACAGCTAATGTACTTAATGGTGAAAAGCTGAAGGTTTCAATCTCCAGTTAACCACCAAAAAACTGGAAGTGGCACTGTGGCTCACATGACAGAGTGATAGCCTTGAACTGAAGAGCTCAGGGACATGGCCCAAGCCCAGAATTAAAAAAAAAAAAAAAAGAAAACCACTAAAAACTAGTAGAATACTATAGAATACTAGAGTACAGAATGATGTGGAACATAATATAAATGTACAAAAATCATGTTTCTATACATGAGCAATAAAAGATAATTCCACTTACATAGCATCAAAAGAATAAATTTAGCAAAAGTGGTAGAAGGCTTGCACAAATCTCGCTACTAAATAAGCAGAAAGACATCCCATGTTAATTGATCATAATACATTGTTAAAATGGCAATAATTTACAAACTGATAAAAGAGATTCCTATGAAATCTAAGCTGGATCTGCATGTGTTGGTAATCTGATCCTACAATTCATATAGAAATGCAAAGGGGCACTATAACTAAACTTGAGAAACATTAAGAGGACTTACTCTTCCCTCTTACTAAAACCACAGCAATCAAGAAGAGTGTTTACTGAGATAAAAAAAGAAATAAACATGAATGAAATAGAATTGAGTGCCAGAAATCCAAGCATCTATGGACATTTTATTTTGGAGGTGAGTCAGGGACTTGAACTTGGGCCTGTGTGCTGTCCCTGAGCTTCTTTGCTCAAGGCTAGCACTTTACCACTTTGAGCCACAGATCTACTTCTGGTTTTTTGGTGGTTCACCAAAGAGTCTCATGGACTTCCCTCCCCAGGGTAGTTTCACACCATGATCCTCAGATGTTTCAGCCTCCTGAGTAGCTAGGATTGCAGGTATGACCAAAGCCTGGGTGGACATTTGACTTTTGGGACTACCCTAGCGCTGAAACTCCCTTGCATTCAGACTGTGAACATTAGTGTCACAAAAAAATAAAATTAAAAAAGTAATGTCACAAAGTGGCATGTTTTAATATGAAGTTAGGTTGGATAACACTGGTATTTTTAAAGTAGTACTCATTGATCTTTTTTAGCACACACACACATATATATATACACATATAATCTTATACTAATTAGATATGTAATTTTTTTGAAAGGACTGGGATTTAAACTCAGGGCTTCATGCTTGGTAGGTACTCTGACAAATGAGTTAAGGTCCCTACCCTATTAGCATGCTTTAATTGTAAAAATACTGTATTTCATTGTAACATTTTCATATATGCATATCATAAAATAACTGTAATCATATTTGCCCCTCCGCTTCCTCTGATCACTTTGATCTTCTCAAATAGTGGCCTTTTACTTTCATGATTTTTTTCTTCCTAGAATCCACATGAGAGAAAACCTGTGATACTTGTCTTTCTGCATCTGATTTTACTTAACATTCTCTATAACATGCAAATGGCATGATTTCATTCTTCATGGCTGAATATTATTCCATTATGTCCATTCATTGATAGGCACTTAAGTTGATCCATTGCTTGGCTATTGTAAAAGTGCCATGATAAACATTGATATCCAGCTATCTCTGTTGTATGCTGACTTTGATTTCTTCAGGTATATACACACAGGAATGTTACTCCTGGTTTTTGGGGTTTTTTTTTGTTTTTTGGTTTTTTTTTTTTTCTGCCGGTCATGGGGCTTGAACTCTGGGCCTGGGCATTGTCCCTCAGCTCTTCAGCTCTAGGCTAGTGCTCTATCACCAGAGCCACAGCACCACTTCTGGCCTTTTCTGCTTATGTGGTGCTGAAGAATCAAACCCAAGGCCTCATGCATGCAAGGCAAGCATTCTACCATTGAGCCACCTTCCCAGCCTTGTTTTTTTTTTTTTTAAGGAATCTCCATAGTGATTTCCACAGTGACTAATTTATATGCATAGTGCATGCGTGTGCATGCATATGCACACACACACACACACATACACACACACTCCTAGCCAACCTCCTCAGCGCTGATTTTTTTTTTCCTTTAGTTTGAGATGAGATTTCTCATCTAGATAGCCTAGGCTGACTTATGTGCCTTATGTGCCTTAGACTGGCCTCAATCTCAAAATTCTCCTTCATGAATCCTGGGATTATACATCATCATGCTTGGGTTGTTGTTTTTGTTTTTTTCTTCCTCCAAATAATTTTGATTATGTTGAGGTAGAATCTAAATGTGATTTTGACATGCATTTCCCTGATGGCTAAAGATTCTTTTTCATGTATTTATTGGTCACTGTTATTTTCTTTTTTTGGGGGGTCTGGTCGTGGGGCCTGAACTCTGGGCCTGGGCACTGTCCCTCAACTCTTCAGCTCAAGGCTAGCGCTCTACCACTTGAGCCACAGCGCCACTTCCAGGTTTTTTTCTTTTTTGCTTATGTGGTGCTGAGGAATCGAACCCAGGGCCTCATGCATGCAAGGCAAGCACTCTTACCACTGAGCCACCTTCCCAGCCCTCATTATTATTTTTTTTTTCTTTTTGCTTATGTGGTGCTGAGGAATCGAACCCAGGGCCTCTGGCATGCAAGGCAAGCGCTCTACCACTGAGCCACCTTCCCAGCCCCGTCATTATTGTTTTCTTATTTGCCCACTTACTAATTGGATTATTTGTTTTTTTCAAGTTTTTGTTTTTTGTCGGTCATGGAGCTTGAACTCTGCGCCTGGGCTTTGTCTCTCAGCTCTTCAGCTCAAGGCAAGCACTCTACCACTTAAGCCATACCACCACTTCCAGTTTTCTGGTGGTTCACTGGAGTAAGAATCTCACGGACTTTCCTGCCTGGGCTGGCTTTGAACCATGATCCTCAAATCTCAGCCTCCTAAGTGGCTAGGATTACAGGAGTGAGCCACAGGCGCTTGGCTAACTTTTTATTTTTTATTTATTGTGAAAATATTGAATAGAGGGGTCACAATTACATGGGCAAGATAACGAGTACATTTCTTTTCAAGCGTTGTTGCCTCCTCCTTTGTTTCCCCTTCCCATCTCCCCCTCCCTTTAGTTTTTTTTTTTATATGGTATGGATATTAATCCATCGGATGAGTACTTGGCAAAGCACTTCCATTTTGAAGACCATCTCTATATCCTGCTAATGTTTTCTTTGTTGTACATAAGCTTCTTAATTTGATGCAATTTTTGTGATTCTTTAACTATTGGAGACCTACTCAGAAAGTCAATGCCCAGCGTCTTGAGGTATTTTCCATACCGTATTTTCAAAGTTTCTGGTCTACATTAATGTCTTTCCTCTATTTTGAGTTATAGATAAGAAATCTAGTTTCAGCCTTCTACAATTGGATATACTATTTTCCCAGCATAATTTGTTCATGAGTTATTTTTTCTCCAATGTATATTTTTGGCATCTTTGTTAAGAATCAGATGAGCTAGGTTTATTTCTAGTTCTCTATTCTATTCCACTGGTGTATGTATCTGATTTTGTGTAAATACCATGTTATTTTTGTTACTATAACTCTGGTGTTTTGTTGCTATAACTGGAAATAGTATTTATTAACATATCTATACAGATTCTCTAGAAAAAGAATTCACACATCCTGATCTACTTTTATGGTACTTCAATTATTTTCCTTGTAACCTTGGAGTCTTTAAAAACAGATGCTTCCATGGCCTGTTCAGCCCTGGGCAGGGACACTGAATCAATTGGGGGTGAGATACCTTCACAGTTTGTGGTGAACACGTGTTGATCCAAATTTATTCTCAGCTGTGCAAATACTGTTATTTTGCTGTTGTTGATCTTTCCCCTCATAGAACAGTTCTTTTCTGCTTACAAAGTGATTGTCAGTCTGTAGCAGTCTAAAGGTGCTTGGTTAATCTTGTTTATTGAATTTCAATGCTATTTTGTTTTGTTCAAGTATGCCACAGATATTTTTAAATAATCTTTTCTTTTTTTGTGCCAGTCCTGGGTCTTGAAATCAGCACCTGGGCACTGTCTCTTGGCTTTTTCACTCAAGGCTGGCATTCTACTTGGGCCATAGTTCCACTTCTAGCTTTTTGCTAATTGAGGAGTCTCAAACTTTCCTGCCTGGGCTGGCTTCAAACCAGGAACCTCATGATTTCAGTCTCCTGAGTAGCGAGGATTATAGCCTATTCTTAATATAAAATTACCTGTGTGGGATTCTGAAGTATTTAACTTTTGAGTTTTTTCACTCCAAAAACATTAAACTTCTGCTCCTTTGGTTGAGCCTGATAGATGTACTTATCTCATCCCTGGCCTATGCTACCTATCATTACTAATACTGCTTTTGCCATAATAATTAGTAATCCTTAAGCTATGAAATTTGAAAAAAAAAGCCAATAAAATGTCTACTCTGTACAAAATGCCAAATCAAATGAAATTCCTACATGCAAAACATAAACTCTCCATCATCAGTCCTTTGATTATATATAGTCCCCATCTACTGATTAGTTGCCTTCATTTATTCCAGTTTTTGTTTGTTTTTTAAAAGCTGTTGATTGGACATAAATCTTGAGCTATAGGAAGTGGTTCTGTGGTTCAAAGTGGTAGAGTGGTAATAACCATGAGCAATAAAGCTTAAGGACACCACCACCACCACCACCAACTACAAAAATCTTGACCTATGCCATTTCCCCTTAAAGCTTTGATCCAGTCTTGTAGAAATGAATATCAAGGTTAAGAAGCTTGAAGCCAACTTGGTTACATCATCTTTTGGTTCAACTGCCTAACGGGGTCTTTTGTCTTTTGAGATCTAATAACAAGTCTTTCTGCCATCACTTTTTTTTTTTTTTTGGTCAGTCATGGGGCTTGAACTCTGGGCCTGGGCACTGTCCCTCAGCTCTTCAGCTCAAGGCAAGTGCTCTACCACTTGAGCCACAGCACCACTTCCAGTTTTCTGGTGGTTAATTGGAGGCCTGGACTGGTTTTGAACCACAATCCTCAGATTTCAGCCTCCTGAGTAGCTAGGATTACAGGCGTGAGCCACTGGTGTCCAGCTGGCATCACTTTTTAGTAAGACCTTTTCATTTTCTGCAAATCTTTGTGAATTCCAGTTTTGTGTGTGCTGAATCTCCATTACCTTCCCTCTTTCATCCTTTTTATGCTTCCACTTGCTTCTCTTTTTTTTTTTTTTTGTCAGTCATGGGGCCTGAACTCTGGGCCTGGGCGCTGTCCCTCAGATCTTCAGCTCAAAGCTAGCACCCTACCACTTGAGCCACAGTGCCACTTCCAGCTTTTTTCTGCTTATGCGGTGATGAGGAATCAAACCCAGGGCCTCATGCATGCAAGACAAGCACTCTACCACTGAGCCAACTTTCTAGCCCCAACTTCTCACACTGGGCTTGAACACTGGGCCTGGGTGCTGTTCCTCATCTCTTCAGCTCAAGGCAAGCGTTTCTACCACTTGAGCCACCACACCACTTCCAGTTTTCTGGTGGTTAATTGGAGACAAGGGTCTCACGGACTTTCCTGCCCAGCCTGCCTTTGAACCGAGATCGTCAGATCTCAGCCTCAGGAGTAGCTAGGATTATAGGCATGAGCCACCAGCACCCAGCTACTTCTCATATTCTTGTTCCCTTTTAATTTCCTGGCCTGTCTTCTGGCCTTGTTTCTACCAGCATCTATTCTGCGCTTCAACCATCTTTATCTTTATTCTGTTTTATTTTTTATTTTTTTCTCTTTTTCCTTTTTTTTTTCTCTTTTTTTTTCTTTTTCCTTTTTTTCTTGCAGTGCTGAGGATTAAACCACAGCCTTGCATATGCCAGGCAAGTGCTCTACCACTGAGCTATATCCCCAGCTCTCCACTTCTAAATTCCAGTTTCGTTTCCTCTCTGATGTTTTGCTATGTGCTTGAACTAATTTTGTAAATGCAATTACTTTATTTTTGTATTTTTATTTTACAAAGGCCAATTACTTCATATTTATATTCATGGGAAATATCTATAATTTCCATATGTTCCTTTAGCAAAAATTTTTTATCTTTGAAATACTATTTTCCTTAAAAAAAAAAAAGAATTATCTGTCTGCCTTTTGTTTTTCCATTCCTCTTTCCCTTTTTTCTTTTAGTATTTTAGAACAAATTCTATTCTGTTCCTGTAAGGTAAACCCAATTTCACATTAACTGAGATTTTTTTTTTTTGTTGGTTGTAGGGCTTGAACTCCGAGCCTGGGCACCGTCCCTCAGCTCTTCAGCTTAAGGTGAGCACTCTACCACTTGAGCCACAGAGCCACTTCCAGTTTTCCGGTGGTTTATTGGAGATAAGTCTCACAGACTTTCCTGCCCGGGCTGGCTAGCTACACCCGAGTAGCTAGGATTACAGGTGTGAGCCACTGATGCCTGGCTTAACTGAGTTTTTTCTATACCAGCTATTTGTATAAAGCTTATATAAATAAAAAGCTAGGCAAGCATTCTAAGTAGCAGGAATTTTCCTTATGGCCCAGGATTGTGTATGGGATCTTTCAATCTTTACTTCTCCCTAGTTACAGAGGTATATAGTTCTAGAACACACTGCTTACTACAAATCAGTCCTTTATCCACTGCCTCTTAAGACTCAAATAGTCCAGAGACTTTCCTATCACAACCTATGCATTCTATTCTCGTTGGAAAAACAAGGAAGTTTGGTTTTGTGCCTCAAGATATATACCTCACCTGGGGAGGGGAAATATACACTGCTGATTCTAAAATCTACATAAAGCTATACACAGGCAGTCTCTCTGTACTTCCTCCAGCATCCTTGTCACATAGCAAATACTTTTGCAGCCTCTCTGTATATGTATGGATCAAAATTTCAGATACCTTCAGATTGTATAAAATATAGCATTTACATTTATTTTTACCTGTTTTCCTTGTTCCTTTAGAGACAAGAATGTCAAGACTACTCTGATACATTCAATCTGGACATTCTCCGTAAGAACTTTTTATTGCAATCAGGTCCACTATCATCTTACAGTTCTTCTCCCCTAGAAATGCTATATGTATACTAGTTACTAGAAACTTAAGCCTAAAAAGGCTCAGTGTTTGTCTCAAGGTCTCAGAGCCAATACTCTTTCCATTACTACAGAGATCCATCCATGCATGCACGTGGCCACTCAACTCATCTTTCTCTTTGTAAACTTATTACCAAAAGCTGAAGTCTAAGAATTGTATTTAGGAAAAACTGAGCATCTCAATAACTGACAACTGTCAGGGTGAATAAGGAAGAGGACCAAGAAAACAGGCTTAGTTCCTATTACCTGGCTTAGTGTCTGTCACTCCTTCCATGAGTACCAGTCCTATTGGGCGCTGACAAGCAATGTCACAGAAGCGGAAACGTAGCAGGAAGTCTCGGCCATACTTACGTCTCTCTGTAAATGAAGAAAAGCACACATGAAAGCAAAAGGAAAAGAAACTACATGCTGGGACCTCTTTTTAGTTCCAAGAAATTTCCTACATAGCAACAGAGGAAGTCTGGCTCTGAAGACAAGGAGATTTTTCCAACAGTTATGACTTAGAATTGTCCATTTCATAGGGTGATCGTATGGAGGACAGTGAGAAAAACAAGAGGAACTTGCTCAAAGAAAAGAGATTACAGTCTCTCTTGTTACTGAGGACCAATCTTTCTCCCCAAACAGGTGTAAGGATATAGAACAGTCAATAAGGAATGTGACATATGCTTACCTCTTGTCTTGGGGTGACAGGAGGTGACATACTGACAGCAATCAGTGATGCCCAGGGAACTGGGCCACAGAGGAGCCTGCAGCTTCCTCTGGTAAAGCTGATGGGAGAAGTCTTCCTGCCCTGATACCTACAAAGAATGAGCAAGGTGGCAATGAGGAAACCAAGACAGAAAAAGGAAATGGCAACCCATGTTTTGGGATATGTGGATGAATACGCACACACAATCACATACTACATACATGGTATAAGCAAGTCATATAAGTCTCGGGGAAAGGTTGAAAAGAAAGAAGTTAAAACATTACTTTTTCACTAGAAACACTGAAATGCCCATGAAAAAGGAAGAAAAGAAAGGAGAAATTGAGTCAAGGCAAACAATGTAGGAGCATGTGATCCTAAATTTCACCTCAGGAAATTCCCACTGTTCCCCATAGGGAATAGCAGCTCTTAGGGGCTTTCTCTTGCAATGGGAAAGGCTTAGTCTGGTCTCAGGGTCTTGTGGATCAAGGTCTAGTAGCTTGACTCTATGACTGGGAAACCACAGGGTCAAACCAAATGGGAAAAACACTGAAGCACTTTACCGTATCTATGTCACCATCCTTGGTCAGCAGCTGGGAATGGACAGAACATAGTAGGGCAACGTTCGGCAACATCAGTCATTTGCATATCTCCAACATGGGGTAGCAAAATTCCCTTTATTTCATTTAACAACAACAAATATTTGAATGCCAACCATGTACAAGACACTAGCTAGTGCTGGGGAAAGAGGGGTGACAAGACTGTCTTTTCAAGGGCACACATGTTCAATATGTCATACGAAGTAAAACAGACCTGAAATTCAGTGACCATTTAATAGCTCTGACTTTAGACAAGTGAGTTAACTCTCTTTGATTCGATATCCTCTACTGTCACATAGAATACTGACATTGTATACAATCAAAAATATTAATAACAATAACCACTACACCAATTGCTGACTGCGCTTCCTTTAAACCAGATACTGAAAGTACTGAAAACACTTTTTATACATTATTTTATTTAATCCATCCAAAACAACAATAAAAACAAAAAAAAACACAAAACCACCACAAAAAAATCCCATCTCTAATATACATCCCATTATCTCCTGATGTACAAATGAGACAACTGGGAGCTGAAAAAGTTAAGTGACTTTCCCAAGGTGGCAGAGCAGGGATTTGAACTCAGGACCCCCATGTGACTTCAAAGCAAGTGCTCTCATCCACTATGTCTAACATGTCTGCCCCTGTCACATGGTAGGCAGGTGCTCTGCAGACTCTCCTCCAGTGTCCTGAGACCCTGGATTGCAGCTTCCTTACAGCAGGATAACGCCCCACTCTACGCAATCAAGACATCACTGGCACTTGAGTTACCTCCTCATCAAAATGAAAGCCCAAAGTGCATGGCAATAATTCAGTCATTTTGTGTCTTTTCTTCACTGTGGTCTGCCAAAAGTTAAGCAGTAAGTTGGATCAGTAAGGACAAATCAGAGGAACAAAGTGACTGACTGACATACACAGCAGTCAGCACAAGCTAATAGAGCTGCTATCTATGCTACCAATATTCAGCAGTTAAATGAGATAGATTCAGATAAAAACTGTTGACTGAAAGAAAAATCCACAAAGCACTATGTCATGTTTATAAAACATATAGGATACATTACTTTGCAACAGTTACAGCAATCACTGCTCGGCACTAGACTAGAGAGTCCTGGGACATGACCCCTTGGTTACAAATGCAAGATCTACCACTAACTACTTGCATAACCTAGAGCAGATCACATAAATTCTCTATGCCTCACCTACGACATGGAAGCAACATCAATAGTAAAAAGCAATGAGTTAATACATATATAGTGCTTTAAATAGCACCTGGCACACAGGTAAAAGCTTCGTAAATATAAGGGCTAAAGGCATGGCTCAGTGGTATTGTGCCAGCCTAGTAAACTCGAGGTCCTGAGTTCAAGCCCCAATATTGCCACACACACACACACACACACACACACACACACACACACGAGAGCTTAATAAATGTAAATTGTGATATCACAGGAACATAGTTATCACTATAAATGCACAGAAGCTGGAAGAATGATGCCAAACTTAGAACTACTAGCTTTGTAGTTTTGTAATTTTTTTTTTAGCAAGTCACACACTCATTACTTGACTCTTAAGAAGTGAGGGCAGGCAATAAAGGAGACTTTTGCCTCACTTTATGTATGATTTCTTGCAAAAATGTACTTATGTACCACTTATTTAAAATCATGACAAAAACTGAGGGTCAGTTTTCAATATGCTTTCAAAGGTACTCTTTGAGTTCCTAACTTCTGAGCTTGGGCACAAGTTATTCAACATGAGAAAAGACTTAGGAGGGAGCCAGAACAAGTATAAGTTAGGCCCAGTAGATGCCAACATCTGACTCTCTAAACAGTGCTGCCCCCCATCACTGGCCTCCCCAATTTCACCTTCCAGGCTGGCATCCCATTGTACTGGAGCTCTCCATCCCTGATGAAGTTGTAGAGAGGTGACTCAGGAACAGAATTCAGATCCCCACACAAGATGATAGGGCAGTGACTGCCATCTGACAACCTGGACACCTTATCCACTTCAGCCAGGAGAATGGCCATCTGAGCCAGCTTGACATCACCCCGGCGTGGGTTGTAAAGAACATGGGTATTTGCCACGCATAGAGGGGCCACTGTGACATGTCCCAAGCCTTCTGGGACTAGTGGCTGTAACAGCAACACTAAGCCCACATTGTCCCGATTGAGAAGCTCCAAGCCAGGCCGAAAGTACTCCACAGGGCTGGCACAGAGCAGACGGAATCTGGTGGGCTTGTAGCAGACAGCACAACCATCTGTCTTACACCCCGTCCTCCTCTTGTAGAAACAGGTAAAGCCTATAAGGAAATCCAACCAGAGAGATGTGTCAGAGTTCTTGAAGACTGAATCACTTGCAGCAGCATGAGAGTGTGTGCCTCTGATACTGTTTGTTCCTTGCTGCTTAATAAGGAGAGCCTTTGCCTTTCCCATGTCTTTTGTTCTGCAGAGATGCTCTCAGAATTGCAACCAGAAGACCAGGGACTCAACAGGCAAGGACTCAACAGGGCAGAAAGGGCAGAAAGAAATAACATAAGAAGCTAGAGTCCAGTAAGTTGGGAATCATATCCCCACAACCTATTAGCTATGTAGTTTTGTCACACACTTTCAGAACCCTAGTTTCCTTATCTGTAAAATGAGGTAATGACATCCTCATTGATTGGTTACTGTAAGGATTATATGGCACCATGTCAGAATTACTTTAAACCACAGATGCAGAGAGGTATCTCATAAGTGAGAAGCATATCACAAGACACAAGGAAAAGATGGGATGTTCAGGAGAAAGTAAAAGGGTGGAGGAAGAAGGGCTACAAAACATACAAGGGAGCTGCCATACCCATCATTCGTAGAGAGGGTTCTAGCTGCTCCCAGTAATGATCTTCCTGGACTTCCTGGAGACACAGGATCTGGAAAGACAAGAAAAACAATCACTCAGGCCAGGTGGAAAGTTGCTGTGGATCTCAGGTAGAGTCAATAGCAAAACCAGCCCAGGCTTAAGCTGAGGAGGCCAGACATGCATGCTAAATTTCCCTGTTCCATGAATCCCTCAGGTATCCTTCCTGCATACAAGTCCTAGAAAGGGAACACTTTGGGAGATTTTTCTTAGCATCTATCAAAACTCTGACTCCAGGCAGGCAAGCTCCAGTCCTAGGCAGAACTGTAACAATTTGAGAAAGTTGAATTAAGAACAGTGGGAAACCATGCAGGCCCAGTGCCAATGCATCACAACTTATTTCTGCTCTTCACTCACATCAGGGTCCCAGTGCTGGAATTCCTGCATGAGGTTCGCAAAGCGATAGTTCCAATTGAGGATGTCTGGGTGGCAATGCAGGTAAAGCTCTGAGCTCTGCTGCATCAGGTCCTGGGACAGGATGTTATAAGACATCAGAGTGAACTGGAACTGAGGACCATCCCCTGCCTCCAGGCCCTGTGCATCTGGCTGAGTAGAGAAATCCTCCCATTCTCGCCACAGGATTTCTACAAAAGGATTGAAGGGAAAAATTCCATGACAAGTACAGGTTATTGAGAGGCCAAACCATCTCCACCCAACTCCATAATATTTTGACTTAAGTTCTTCTCTCCTGTCACCATTTCTCTGTGTTTATCTGAGCAACAATCTTCAGACTAGACTAAGCTCCTCAGAGCTAGAGATATTCTTGACCTATTTACTGCTGCATCCCCAATAACCACCTACTAGACATTCAAAAATTCTTAAACACTGACAACCTTTTGCTTAGTAGCTATCCATGAGTCTCTGGAAAATTACTAGCTGGTGTGATTAACAGTTTCCTGAAGTTTAAAATATTTTTAGAGTAATTGAAGCTTTGTGGGATTTTTAACAATTATATCTGGTTATAGCAAGGTGGGTTTCAAACTTATTTGAGCACAGAATATTACTCAAACTAATGGACTCTCAATATGGAACACAAAAGTGGAGTTATTCTGCTTCTGTGGAGGTCCTGTTACCCTTCCATCCCTCCTCCCACAAAAGCCAAGAAACCTCAGAGAAATGACTGTATGGGGAGCTAGAGTTGGGTCTTGGTTCTCCCAAGAGAACTACCTAGCTGTGTGATGCTAGACCTGAACCCTACCTCTGCACTATCTCACTGGTTATTTCATCTGTAAGTCAAAGAGCTAGAAAAGAAAGTCTTCAAGGCCCCTCTAGATCTGACACTGCTAGTCTCAGTCTGCAGCAGCAGAGCTCCCCACCAGTGGCTCCTGTCCCAGACAACCTGCCACCCTGGCTAACTCACAGCCAACTCACCATGGTAGGGTATTTCCATGGGGGGAGGTTGCAACTGCCCCAGGCCCTCAAAGGGCCAGATGGGATTCTCTTCCTGGGGCAGAGGCTCTGGTGCTATGCTCCAGGCCACCACTGCCGGGTCCTCTTCCCATTGCTCTGCAGCCACGGCACCCATGGGGAGGACAGCACAGTCAGCATACTGGGGCCCCGTCTGCATGGGAACAGCTGCCCACATGGGCCCTGCAACCTCTGGCACTTGCTCCTCTCCTAGCAGCTCAGGGAAAGGCTGCTGCTCTGGGTTCTCTGCTGCCCGCAGGTCACTCAGCTGCCTGCTGGGCCACTTGTCCTCTGAAGTGGCATCCTGCTCTCCAGGCGTATCCATCAGGAGTGCCAGGCTGCTCTGGGCCAGCCCTTTATCATCAAGGGGACCCTCACTCGCAGTTGGGAGCACCTGGCTTGCCCCTTCTTCTCGCCACTGCTGTAGCAAGCCCTCACACTCCTCCTGGTCAGGCCCCGGAGGGGCCATGGTAAACTTGCCCTCTACCTGGGGGGACGAGCTCTTCGCCAAAAAGGCATTTTTTCGACATGTAAAGAAAGCATCTAGGAGGAAAGCCAAAATATCAGGTTATAAAAAGACAGTATCACCCACCCCACATTATTCTCCCAGCTAGCTAAGAATCACATCCATACCACTCATCAATGTATCATCATGGAGCGTGCCTACCTTGATGCCTGCAATATCACCTCCACTGCAAATGCTATGTGCTGGGTACTGTCCTAACACTTTCACTTTACAACTATTTGTGAATTTACATGGTAAGATCCTGAGAATGTCAGTGCATAAAGGAAAAAAAAATGGCTGTCCCAACTATCTAGGACACAGGTACACATAACCACACCCCTTGTATCTGGAGGTTAACACTACTAAGATCAATTCCCTGGTTCTAAAACTGCATTACAACTAACACAAGCATGAGTCAGAATGGTGAGTTAGGAGCTTGCACTAAAATGAACAGAACTGTCTTTGGACAATGCCCTTAGACAGACATAAAATGGATACGAGAAGGTTAAACAGAATCTCCAAGGGTTTTCTAGATCCACAGATCCCTTAATTAATTTTAAATTTATTTATTTTGCTGGTCCTAGGGCTTGAACTCAGGGCCCGGGAGCTATTCCTAGCTTTTTTGCTCAAGGCTAGTGCTACTTGAGCCACAGCTCTCTACTTCCTGCTTTTTGATGGGTAACTGGAGATAAGAGTATCATAAACTCTTCTGCTTGGCCTAGCTTTGAACTATGATCCTAAGATCTCAGGTTCCTGAGTAACCAGGATTACAGTCGTAAGCCACCAGTGCGCCTGATGATCCCTCAATTTATGAAGGAATTCCAGAAGAAAAACTCCTAGACAATCTTGAAATCTGTACAATTTACATCTTAGCAAAAGGCCTAGAGCCTCTTCTCAATTTTCTCACATTTCATTACCTGATTTCCCATCCCCCAATACATCAGATGCTATAAATTAGGAGAAGCCAATAACTGACAGCTGTCATCTCTTTACTACAGCAGCCACAAACGACAGTCAACCCACAAGAAAATCTCTAAAACTACAGCTCTGAAATCCTGAGCACAGTAATTTGTTTAGTCCCTTCTACATGCACACTATAAATCACTTGTTTACATGCATGATTCTGAACCACAATCAACTTTTTTTTTTGCTACTATGTAGCCAGGCTGGCCTAGAACTTACCATCTTCCTACCTCAGCCTCTCCAATGCTAGGAACTATAGGCATATGTCATCATACTTGTTGACATTATTATTCCTTAGTTGTTTAAAAGTATTTTAACTGATAATTTTTTTAAAGGAATAAACACTAACTCAGGGCCTCAGGCTTGCTCAGGTAGCATTCTACCACTTAATCTATGCCTCTAGCTGGTCTTTTTGGAGATAAGTTTCAAGGACTTTTCTGTCTAGGCTGGCTTGGAATCTCAGTCTCTGGGTCTTAGACTCCTGAGTAGCTACAATTATAGGTGTGAGGTACCAGCACCTGGCAAGAAAAATTTCAAAATGGGTCAACTAGTGAAGGTTCAAATACTTTATGGCATATGTGAATTTATGCCCTTCTAAACCACTGGTTTTTCAACTGGATGGGATGGGGCTAAATTTTGCCTCTAGAGGAGGTCACAACTATGGCAATGCTACTGGCATCTACCTACTGGTTAGAGGGCAGGGATGTTGCCGAACACTCTATAATGCACAGAGCAGATTCACAACAAACAATGTGGTCTGAAATGACATGCAGAGACCTTGCTCTGAACCCATGGGCTGGACTGCTGGCTTTAGTCTCAGAAGCTTGCTACTTATCTGCCCCTTGAAACATCTTCTACTTATTCCAGATAGCCAAGGTCCTTTGGTTCAATGCTTCATATTCAGAAGATTTTGTTACTGGTAATGGCTTGTGTTTCAAAAGCAGAATGACTTTTAATCTTAAACAGCTTAAGATTGGACTGGGAATGTGGCTTAGTGGTAGAGTGCTTGCCTAGCATTCATGAAACTCTAGGTTCAATTCCTCAGCACTACATAAACAGAAAAAGCTGGGAATGGTACTACTGTGACTCAAGTGGTTGAATGCTAGCCTTGAGCAAAAAGAAGCCCAGGAACAGTGCCCTGGCCCTGAGTTCAAACCCCAGAACTGGCCAAAAAAACCCTTAAGATTAATATAAGTGGAATTATAATGTGTGGGTGGGGAAGGAGCTTCCTCTAAAATACCTACTAATTGTACTGAGGAGAAATCTCTGGACTAGTGTATGCCAATCACTTAAGACTAACCTTCCACAATGGAACTGTGGACACTCCATAAGGATCTCAAGACACCATAGCATCGTTGTTAAATATGCTTGCCAGATACCTAATCAGGAAGCAGAGGTCCAGGGAACCATAGTTCAAAACCAGTTCTGGCAGAAAAGTTCATTAGTTTATATCCAAAATTACTAGCAAAAGGCAGGGCTGGAGATACAATTCAAGTGGTGGAGCCCAGCCTAACAAGTTGGGGAAGCGCAAGACTTTGAGTTCAAACTCCAGTACCAGCAAAAATCAAAAAAGAAATATGCTTAGTGCTCTAAAAATAATGACTTTGACAAGCTCTCCCATTCTTGAGACAAACATTGCTGAGACACACAAACATTCTTGAATTTATTGAAGACTTTACTACTAAGCAGTATGTTAGCACTAGATAGTGAACAAAATGGGCAAGACCTTGCCCTCCTGAAGCTTTAAATTTTGTGGTAGACAAAACAAAAGAGAAAAAATTTTTTATGTGAGCTGGGCATATTTCATCTGAGCAGCTGATTTCTATAATCTTGCTACTCGGTAGACAGAGACATGGAGGATCAAAGCTGGAGGCTGGCCAGAGCAAAAACATATATAATATATACAGTATAATATGTATACGTGTTATGTCCATATATAGTATTCATACACATATACATATATGTATACCTGTGAATGCACATATGTAATGAAACTTCTACTATCAATTACCCACAAAGAAAGAAAAAAGAAGGCACCAAATGCTGCTGAACCTCTATTTCTCAAAGTCGTTTTGGGCTTGCTCTCTAAGCTGCAGAAGGGCTATCAGAGGAACTGAGGGTCGCATGATAGCCCCGGGACTTCAAAGACCAGGAACAAGCGGGGGAAAGGGGCAGCGGTAACCCTGCCAATGTCTCTAAAGCCTCCCCGGGCCCGCTACCCCCACCTCTCTCCCCGCCCCCCTCCCCATGCTCCAATGCTGAGGTTTAAACGGCTCTCTAGCTTTTGCGCATCCATTTGAGGCTTCGCGAGAGGACAATGAGGTGGGAGAAGCCTGTGAAAGGTGGGTGCGACAAAGACTTCAGCCCGCCCCCCGCCCCCTCCCAGGGCGGCCCCGCCGCTACCCGCAGGGAATTCGGGCTCCCGCCCGGGCTGCCAACGCCCCCGACCCCGGGGAAGCGGCTCCACCAGCCTCAGGACCTCTGCAGCTCCTCGACCAGGGAGGGCCGCGCCTTCCCAGCCCCCGTCCACGTTAACCGTGGCTCCACGTCACCAGACCACAGCCTCAGGAGCGGCCACCCACGAGAGCCGCCGGCCAGCCGGAGCCTGGAGAGGCCAGGACGGCTCCGAGGCCGAGTCGAGGCCCGCCTCCCACACCTTGGCACCGCCGGGGAAGGTGGTCGTGAGGCCTGGCGCTCCGCTCGCTACCTCAAGCCCCTCGGAGCCCCGCAGGAGTAGGCCCCGGCTCCCGCCCGACAGGACGCCAGGCCGGTACCTGCGAGGGCGCGGAAAAGGCGCGCGGCCAGATGCAGCAGGTGACACAGGAACGACGGGATCATGGCTGGCCGCCCGCGCCGCTACCACCGCCACTGCCACCGCCAGGTCTCCTCAGCTCGGCCCCGCCCCCGCCCGCGCCGCCTAGGCCCCGCCCCCACGTCGCCCAGGACCCGCCTCCACGCCGGACCACGCGCCTCGCGTGTTCCCGCCTCCTCATCTCAATAACAATTTCATTGGGCACTCAGATGCCGGGTGGGAGGAGTTAACTTCCAGGGAAACGGGCTTCCCGGCTCCTAGAGGTCCCTGAAACCCCGGGCTTAAAATGGAGGGCTTCGCTGGAGACCCCTGTAGAATTATTCCGAGATCATAGTTTTATTCTTGCTTCAGGCGCCATGTGCCCTCTGCCCCACCCCCAGTTTCCTTTCTGTAATACGAAGGGCTGGGGTTTTCTCCAAGGCCTCTCTTAACCCTGATTTCTAGAGTTGGCCCTTCTCTCTCCTCCATCCCACCCCACTTCCTGCCTTTATTGTCTTCCCAGTTTAGATTCCAAGTAACGAACTGAGTCCTCCCTGGCTTCTGCACCTAAGATGTCTCCTTCAGCAAAGATGGCGCTCTTTTCTTTAATATGGGGGGAGGGGTGGTGGTGGTGATGTAATCCTATTCCCAAGAGGGGAGGGAGACAGGAAGGAAGGAAGGAAGGGGAGGGAGTGGGATGGAGGAAAGGAAGTGGTGGAGGGAAGAGATGGGTGGAGGAAAGGGGAAAGAGAAGGAAGAAGGAAGCTTCACAAAAGGCCAGGGACCAAGTCTTGTGGTTTCTTTATCTCAAGGTATCTGTCTAGTAGCCTAAGTAGGATCCAGTAATTGTTCTGAACATAGTGTATGCCACCAAATAAAGAGCTAGTTTCATCACCTCTGTGCTAACCAGTGACCTCTTTGAATCTCTCTTTCCCAACCGCTCCCCAAATCTGCTCTAACCATGCTCTGAAGGAGGACTATAATACACCCAACATTAGTACCCAGTGTCTGAGCTGTATGATTTCCAATTTGTGGCTGGAGCCTTGGTTGTTCAGGGAAGCCCTCTGGGGAGTCACCAGATCCTGGACCAGCTGGGTACATCATAACACTGAAGGGCTAAAAGGAGGAAGAAGGAGAGAATCAGTCATGTGGTCTTCCACAACTTACCCTGCAGAGGCAGCAATGTCCGCCCTCTGCAACAGAGCTCATCCCATTGTCTGAGATGAGCCAGAGGCTCAAGCAATCTGCAGGCTTGCAGCCACTTAGAAATCTTCCCACAACTATTGGTACTACCTAAGGAGCCCAGAGATCAGGTGGTTTAATTAGACCCTTCTATACCCTCCTTTCCCCTCTATCCATAGTTACCCAGAAGGCCAAACTCCAAGTTAGATCTTAAATCATTTTGTGAAGTAATGATTTTCTTGGAAAATGTTTTTATAACATTTCTTAAATCACAGAGTTCAGCTTTCACAGGTCTGGGATTAGACCTGAGACACTAGGTTATTCTGAACTACAATTTAGGAACTTGTGCTGAAGAAGCTTTGCCTGGGCTGTTTAGTGCACATATGTGGGCATGGGAGTTCAGGTCAGCTGATGCCATGGCTCTTCCAAAGGCTGTTCTTGAGGCCAGACTCCTAACCCATAACCAACGAGGTTGGAAAGTGTAGGATCACAAGCTTTGGAGTTAGACTTCCTGAGTTCAGATCCTGGCTCTGCCATTTCCTATCCATGGAACTTCTTGGATACCTGAGTTTCTGTGATCCAGTGTTTACTATTATATTTTTGTAACTTGGGCAAAAGCTGTGCATGTAGTCTTTTCCATGACAGTGGCTGAGATGAAGCTCCTGCTCTGACACAGCAATATGGCATTGCTAAGTGAGAAACTGCAGGTTCCAAAGAGATTTAGCCTACGACATGCAGCCTCAGATTTCCCTGGCCAAAGAAAAATTATAAGCATGATCTACACTGTTCCCAGCTTCATGGCAGAAATAATAAAGGAGGGAGGAGGGAGAAGGGAGGGAGGGCGAGAGAGAGACCCCTCAGTTTCATCCCAACTGTGATAATGCAATGATGCTCACTGCCTTCATTGTCAACATGGTTTCAAAGTTGAGAATGGAACAAAAACCTCAATCCTCAGATCTAAGCCTCCAGAGTAGCTAGAATTATAGATGTAAGCCACTGGCTTGAAATGCTCCTTTAAAAGGGAAATGCTTATGTGTAGGAAATTTAAACATTTTAGGGCTCAAACATTACTGAAGTCAACAATTATATATGGAAATTTAAGAGTGGCTGCCTTTATTAACTTGTTGGTTAAAGCTCTGGCAATATACAGTGGGCAACATAGTGCTTCATAATTATGGGGGCTGCTCACCAAGGCCTGGAACAATGCTGCCCACATAGGTACTTTAAAATTTTGTAGTAAAGGGTGGGGATGTAGCTCAGTGGTACAGTATTTGCCTAGCATGTGCAAAGCCCTGGGTTCAGTCCCCAACACCACACACACACACACACACACACACCACACTATTATAGATTCACATAAAAAGCAAATACATGAAACTAATAACATTCCTAACCTCACAGATCAAAAATTTGCATTTTAACATACAATCCATATCCTAAATTGAAATGTTTTACTTTTTTTGTACTCAGCCTTTGAAATCCAGTGTGTGGTTTATTGGACATCACATCTCTGATTGCAAGACACACAAAGATGGTGCTGTCACCTTCTGTCCATCACCCCCCCCCAAAAAATACTGCCTCTGTCCCTTCATTTTCTTTCTGAACAGCGCAATCGTCTTTTGACCTATTCTGACTATGTATGTTTTCTCCTCTTTTGCTTTTTTTTGGGGGGATGGTCCGTTGTGGGGCTTGAACTCAGGGCCTGGGCAGTGTCCCTGAGCTTTTTCCCTCAAGGGTAGCACTCTACCACTTGTGCACTGTCCCTGAGCTTCTTTTGCTAGTGCTCTATTACTTTGAGCCACAGGGCCACTTCTAGTTTTCTGGTGGTTAATTGGAGATAAGAATCTCAGACTTGCTGCCTCCACTGACTTTGAGCCTCAATCTTCAGATTATTAACCTCCTGAGTAGCTAGGATTACAGGTGTGAGCCATTAACAACCAGCTCTGCTTCTTTCTACTTCCTAATTTGGTTTCTACCAACTTCCTTTCCTTGTTCTTTTGTTCTCCATTCTCTCACTTGAACTTGGACCCTTAATAATCATCTTATGCTCATGACCATCAAATATTCTTCCTTAAAGAGCCAGACAGGAAATGGTTTTGGCTTTATAACAGATGTTTAACTCTACTTAGAAATCAGCCATACAATGAAACCATCATGACTGTGTTTCAACAAAACTTTACTTATATACCAATAAGCAGTGGGCCAGGTGCCAGTGGCTCATGCCTATAATCCTAGCTACTCAGGAGGCTGAGACCTGAGGATCACGGTTCAAAGCCAGCCTGGGCAGCAAAGTCCATGAGACTCTTACCTCCAATAAACCACTAGAAAACCAGAAGTGGCACTGTAGCTCAAGTGGTAGAGCACTAGCCTTGAGCTGACAAGCTGAAGGACAGCGCCCAGGCCCAGAGTACAGGCCCATGACCCACCCCCCCTAAAAAAAAAGACAGATTATAGAAAAAAATCTGGAAATAAATGATGTATTATTATATGATATTATGAATATATTTAATACAACTAGATCGTACAATGTGAAGGTTAAAATATTATACATACTTTCCCATAATTTTTTTTAAAAAAACTTTTACACTGGATACAGTAGTTCATACCTGTAATCCTAGCTTCTGAAGAGGCTGAGATCTGGAGGAGAGTGGTTCAAGGCCTGCCTTGGGTAAGGGGTGTCTACAAGACTCCATCTCAGGAGCTGGGAAGGTGGCTCAGTGTAGAGTGCTTGCCTTGTATGCATGAGGCCCTGAGTTTGAGTCCTCAGCACCACATAAGCAGAAAAAGCCAGAAGTGGCGCTGTGGCTCAAGTGGTAGAACGCACTTTGAGCTGAAGAGCTGAGGGACAGCATCCAGGCCCAGAGTTCAAGCCCCACGACCACCACCACCAACAACAAAAAAAAAAACTCCATCTCAATAAATGAAAAGCTGGATACAGTGGCATGTGCCTGTCATTCAATTACATAAGAAATGTAAATAGGAGTGTAAAGAGACCCTATATAAAAAATAACAAAAACACAGAAAGTAACTGGAGTGGCAAAGCCTAATAAACACAGTATCCTGAGTTCAAATCCCAGTACCACAGAAAGTTTGGAATGAATCATATAATTAAATGTAAAAGCTAAAAGAATAAAACATAGTAGAAAAATCTGTCTGACCTTGAGTTAAAAGCCTGTGATATGACCCCAAAAACATGATCCATAAAAATTTAATTTTTATAATATTTTATTGTTATTATTAAAATGTTGTACAGAGAGGTTATTGTTTCATAAGTCAGGTAATGAATGCATTTCTTTTTGGACAATGTCACCCCTTCCTTTGCTTTCCCCCAGTTTTCCCCTCCCATCCCTGCTCACAAGTTGCATAGTTCATTTTCCACATAAGTCTACTGAGCATCAAGTCTGCATTTGTTCATCCTTCCTCCTAGAAAATATTAATTTTTTAAGAATTTTAAAAGTTTGACTTCATTAAAAATCTTTTCTCTGTGAAAGATGCAACTGTTAAGAGAATAAGAAGACAGTAGTTTTTCCAGATAGTATTTTCAAGTCATATTTCTGACAAAGGACTTATAACCACAACATATCAAGAATTCTCAAAACTCTTCAATAAGAAAATAAATAACCAACTTAAAACAAGCCAGAGACAGCCAGGTACCCATAGCTCATACTGATAATCCAAGCTACTCAGGAAGTTTGGATATAAGGATCATGGTCCAAAGCTAATCCCAGCAGAAAAGTCCTTAAGACTCTATTTCCAATTTAACCAGACCAATGCCAGACTGGTGGCACAGTTCAAATGGTAGAGCACAAGCTAAGCAAGAAAGCTAAGCAAAGGTGCCCTGAGTTCAAGTAAGAGCAAAAAGAAAAAAAAAAGGCAAAAGATGTGTATGACCAGCAAAGACATAGGAATGATAAATAAGCTTACAAGATGGTGCTCCACATTATTAATCATTAGGGAAATGTGAATTAAAACCACCATGAAATATCACTATACATTTAATAGAAGGACAAAACAGAAATAGAAATGGGCAGTACTAAATTTTTCCCAGAATGTGGAGCAACTGATACTCAAAACATTCTCACTAGCAATTCAAAACAGGAAATCACTTGACAATTCCCCTAAGGTTAAACCTCCACTATCATATGACCTATCAATCCTATGCAAGCTCTTCACTCACAAGTTGTGAGAGCTTATGTTCATGGAGAAACCTGCGTGTTTGTAGCACCTTTATTCATAATTACAAAATAAGATGAAATAGAAGGTGTCATTCTGTGGGTAAAGGGAAAAACAAAGTGTGACTCATTTCTGTAACTAAATATTACTCTAAATTGGAATGGAAAAATCTTATAACTTTATGTCACAACATGGAGGAATCTTAAACGTGTTCTGTTAAAAGTGAATCTGGGCAAAAGGAAATGTACTCTCTACCTGACTCGTGTAATTGTAATCCCTCTGTATATCACCTTTATAATAACAAAGGTAAATAATAAAAAATAAAGAGAAAAAAAGACAGTGTCATGTTTTTAAGTGAACTGAGGGGTTGGAGGCATGACTTGGTTGGAGAATGCTAGCCAGTGAGTGAAACTGTCAGGTACCAAGATCAAGTCCCAGTCTCAGAAAAAGTAAAATAAAATAAATATGCCTCCTTGAAAGAGGATAACTTGCGGGAGGGGGGATGGAAGGAACAGAGTCTGGGGGGGGTTCCCAATGTAGGCTCTGAAGGCTGCACTTGGACAGCTCCACGCAACCTCAGATACTAAAGGGTAAATCAGAGACTTAGGAGGGAGGGACTCTAATGGTAATGGACAGAGGCACTGCTAGCCTGGATCTAAGGACACACTGGAAATGGAAAAGAGTGAGGCAGATGCTCTGGAAGCTCAGGAGACGGTCAAATTTCTTCCCACCAAGGGAACTTCAAGTTTATTTAAAAGCAAAAGAAATCCCAGCACTGGTGGCTCATGCCTGTAATCCTAGCTACTCAGAAGGCTGAGATCTGAGAATCATGGTTTGAAGCCAGCCTATGTAGGAAAGTCCATGAGACTCTTTATCTCCAATAAACTACACACAAAAAAACCCAGAAGTGGCACTGTCGCTCAAATGGTAGAGAACTAGCCTTGAACACAAAGAGGCTCAGGGGCAGTGCCCACGCCGCCGCCTTGAATTCAAGCCCCAGGACGGGGGGAGGGGGGAGCGATAGGAAAGCAGCAAAACAGACTCTCGGTAGAGAAAGACCCTAAAGATTGGGTCCCTCAATGATGCTTTCTTGTCCTCTACACCAACCAGATACACTGTGGATCTCTGGAACTTGGCCTTTCTGATCAACCTTGGAGCTGACCACAGTGCTGCTGTGCTGATTGAGAGGAGCCCAAATTAGCTCAGTGAACAGAACCTCTGCCAAAAATATTTTCCCATGATCCTAACCATGTCAATTTCTACCTTGTATTACACAACCCTTGAAAAGTCCCTATCTTAATTGTGTCTGTAATCCCTGACCCTCCAATATTCTTTGTACCTTGTAACCTCGTAGATGTTCTATAAGTATCTCTCAGCACAAATGCTGAAAGGAATAATATTTCAGGTGCACACATTTGAAGGGAGGCATGATACTGGGGTTTGAACTCAAGGTCTGGAGCTTCATAGACTCATGCTCAACTATTTGAACCACTCTGCCAGTCATTTCACTTTATTTTTAAGATAGGGTTTCGTGCTTTCTCCTGAACTGGTACAATCATCCCGCCCCTACCTCCTGAGTAGCTAGAATGACAAGTGTGCAGCACCACACCCAACTACATATTTCTTTTGGTTCATGGTTCTAACTATGTCTCTCTTACACACATTTCTAGGTCTGCCCCAGTCTTCTAAATGGCAACAGGGATTTTTCATCTCCCTCCCACCCTAAGCTCTCCCACTCACTCACCTGACGGTTGATGTGTTGAAAACTTACACAGATGGAACAGAAACGCCTCCAGATTCTCTTAACAGCAAAGTGCAACCGAACTTCAGTTCCACAACTTGTAAACCCAGCAGAGTATAAGAGTGACGGCTGAGTGGTTTCAAGTTAGGCAGCCCAGTAGTTTGGATTGAACAAAGCTTTGGCTGCAACGAACTGTCACGACAGATCATAAGTTTCTCATGCTTTGCTTTTGATCTTCTGCTCCAAGGTTGAGGATGCTCTTCCAAAGGGGAAAGAAAAAAGGAAGAAGAGCTGGGTGGAAGAAAACTGACTTCACCCATCACTGAAATACTTCGTACCCGAAGCACAGCCATCTTGAGAGAAGAACATGATGGCGGCTCTTCACAGTCACCTGATTAAGGGCCTTGAGTTTGATCCTGATCAGAGGGAAATACGCTGTCACTGAGAGGCCTCCCCACAGCACCTGAGCACTCACAGCCAAGCCTGGGCTTGGCCCCAGTGGACATATGAGAAAAGATGACCACAAAAGACACGGAGAGGCCTCTGTCGTTGCCAGGTCTACCCACATGGATCACAATGGTTGCGTGAGGTCACGGAACGTTGAAGATGCATTGAAAGCAGCTCCTACATCACAAAGTCACGGGGTGGGTGGGCATCTTTTTGACAGGGTTCCTATGTGTAGAACTATACCATTCTCCCTGATGAGCTGGGACTGTAGCTATCTCTCCCAGACAGAGTACGGATCAAACCCATGCATGTCCAATTCCCACCCAAGCTTGCTGTCCTCCAGGCTTTCTGGGATGAAAAGTTAGGTGCAAGCTCCCCTGGAACTTGCCTCTGCCAGAGCAATATACATAGTTTAAGACAAAGCTGAATGGAAAAGTGTGCTGCTTAGGGAAGCAGTCTCAAGGTGGCAAGAAGCTGGCATCAGCCTTCTAGAGTCCTGGCAGCATGGATGAGGAGGAATCTCTTGAGTCCAAGACACAAGGTGAAAAGGCATTCTGTCTCCAATCCCTGGGCCCTCCTGGGCTGTGGGAAATAGCACCTGATGATGACACAGATTCTCCCAAAGCACTTTTTCTCTCTGCCTAGTTCCTTCTAGAATTGGGATGTTGTGTTATACTGGCTTGGGCTTGAGGGTTGACAGTGAGACAGGATGCTGCATTGAAGCTGGTTCATATTGGCTCTAGCCAACCATCATTTCTATTCTGTGGGCTGGCTGATGTCATATTCATAGTTAGAAGGCAGCCATGTTGGGAATATTTACACCACATGAATTGGCTGACACTGTAAGTCAGGATATGTGTGTCTTTGCAAGAGGGACAATTGTTGAACATTTATCAGCATTACACTAATTTAGAAAATGTTATTCTAAACTTGTTTGACTTTTTTTTCAAGGTCTTAGGCAGCAGTTTACAGCTCAGAAGCTGCTTTAAGTCTTCTGACCATCAGGCCTCCACTAGTCATGTCATGTGTTACACAAACCTTGTCTCACACAGTGAGAAATAAAAATGGGAGCCCAGGTCTATGAACAAGGACCAACAGAGATACAGGTCTGTCTTTATGGTACTATTAGGCACCCTACCATCCTAGAACCTGGGTGGTCAAAACTTCAAATACCCAGCCAAACTGATGAGTAGGCTGAGAAGCACAGCATGACTGCCTGATGCCACTAGAATCCTAGGGATTATGGAAGATTGAGCTTTGAGCCTTGTGAGCAGCTTTCAGGAACCCACCCCTGGTCCCAGATCAGTGGCCCTGTGGGCAAAACACGAGCAAGTCTTAAGAGCTGCTCCTCCCACCAGCACCTCAAAAACCAGACTAGAGTAGTTAATAACAGCAACTTCATTTTTCTTTCATGCATTTGTTTCTAACGCAATTATAAGATTATTTCTTTGTTGCTTTGTATGTCCCTCCCCCTGCTTTCACTGTATTTGATGTCGGTATAATTTGTGGAGGGGAAGGGGAAAAACAAGTCGTTTAAATAAGGATACAGGTGGACCTGTTGCAACAATGAGAAGTACAAGTTGTCATGTCAAAAACCAACTTTACAACTTGGGGTGGAGGAGGATTGGGGGGGGGAGGGAGGATGGGAAGGGATGGGAAGGGTAAACAAAGGAGGAGGCTGCAATGCTTGATAAGAAATGTACTCACTATCTTGCCCATGTAATTGTAACCCCTCTGTACAGTATTTTCACAAAAAAAAACCCAGCAACTTCAAGCCAGAGAATCTATCTACTCAAGCCCTCTTTGCCTACTCATAGAAACAATATAGGATTGGAAGAAGCTAGGTGAAATTCTTAGAAATCAAAAATTGTCTTCTATTGCCTGCAACAGATCCTACTTTACTTCACAGTTAACCCCAGTCACCACCTGCCCAGCCCTTTCCCCTTCTCTTTCACTCCCCAGCACTATTTGCATCTGGCAATAAGCAAGATAGGTGTTCGGTCACATCCTTTCATCTGTAAGAGTGGGCAGTTAAAACCACTCAAGCAAATGAAAGGGGACATGTGTGAACAGGGAGTTCACCAAGACCATCCCAACAAGGAATGGGGCAGGAGCAACCAGTGCCCAGGGGACACTTAGAAGTATCCCAGGATCTTACCAACAACTATTCAGTCCCAAGGCAGCACTGTGCTGCTTGTTAGAAGGAAGGCTTGCTAGAACGGGAGATACCTAGCAGCATGTGAGGTTGACATTCGATGCTGCAGGGACAAAAGCTACAGCCAGGACCTGGGAGGCCAGGAGGAGCAGTGACCCTTCCCCCTTCCAACAGAAGCCAAGGAGATGTTTTTTTTTTCTTGCAGATGACACAACAGAGTTAGCAACTCACAGCAGTGATGACATGCTCTACTGTGAAGCCGAAGCACCCTCCAATGTCGAGAAAGAGAAAACAACCCAGGAGGACTCAGAAACAGATCTGGAGATTGAAGGTGAGGTGGGTATTTGAGGAGAGGGTGGCTGGAGAAAGCTGGCTCTGCAGAACGGACCACCCTACATGTGGGATAGTGCAGAAAAGCTATGTTTAGTTCTACAGCACCTCCTCCAGGCTGGCCAGGAGAGAGCAGATGCTGTGCCAGGCTATGGCCTGTCTCCCACATCAGCTTGTTGAAAGCAGAACCAAGATGCAAATGAGTTTCTGGCCATTAAATGTTTCCCTATGAACCAGGTGCTGGTGGCTCATTCCTATAATCTTAGCTCATTCCTATAATCAGGAGGCTGATATCTGAGCATCCCAGTTTGAAGCCAGCCTGGGCTGAAAAATCCAAGAGACAAAATTGCCTTCCCTTCTCTGACCCATAGGAAAGCTCTAATGACTGAATTTTTTTCTTTTCTTTTTTTTTTTGTCGGTCTTGGGGCTTGAACTCTGGGCTTGGGCACTGTCTCTGTGCTCTTCAGCTCAAGGCAAGCACTCTACCGCTTGAGCCACAGCACCACTTCCTAATGACTGAATTTCTTAGCAAAAGTTCTGTCCCACTGAGTATTGGTGGCTCATGCCTATAATCCTAGCTACGTAGGAGGCCAAGATCGAACATCATGGTTCAAAGGCAACCTGGGCAGGAAAGTCTGTGAGACTCTTATCTCTAACCACCAGAAAACCAGAAGCAGAGCTGTGGCTGAAAGTGCTAGCCTTAAGCAAAATAGCTCAGGGACAGTACCTAGGCTCTGAGTTCAAGCCCTACATCTAGAGAAAAAAAAAAGTAAGTTCTATCCCAAGCAGACACTGGAGCCTAATTTGTTCTACTTTCTAGTGTCCCTATGCTGGTGCCAAGCTGCTAGAACAGGGCCGGAAGGGCTTCCTGGAAAGAGCAGTGAGCGGATGGGGAATCCACATGAGGGAGATAGAAGCAGGATTTGCTCACCCAACCACAGGCTGTTTCCTGAACAACAGTGATTTTCTTACCCAGAAACAACTGTGCAGCTAGGGGACATTTGGCAAGCTAGGCCTGGACGTTACTGGCAAATGGTGTGTGCAGGCCAGGAAATCCTACTAAAAATCCTGCAATGTATAGGACAGCCCCTTACAGTAAAGACTCTAGCTCAAAATGTCAATAGTATGGAGACTGGGAGACCTGCGAGGCAGCCATTCTAGCTCCTTCCCAGGAGCTTCCCTGGGAAGCTGTCCATTCCCCAACAGAGCTCCATTGTCTGCCTTAGAAATGCCTGGGGTGGGTTGGCCAAAGGCCCATAGGAAAATCAAATGCAGATTAAATGCCAGCTGGACAGAGGAGGCCCTGCCACCAAGTAGACTTGCCTAATGAGGGCATCATTGTATGGGAGAAGCAAGGAGAACTGTGCCTATTGCCCATGAGCCAAGATGGTCTAAGGAACAAAGGGCCCAAGGGTTGGAATGAAGATGAAGTCTATACTTCTGCGAGCTTGTTATCACTGATCAGCTATGTAATCAGGAGCTACACTTGTCATCAGGGATGGCGGATGGAAAAAGCCCATTCAGGAACAAAGCTGCTTGTTTCTCATGAGTTCCAAGGTCTTTCTGACTTGTGTTGATTTGCCATTTTGAGTTGACCTTCTATCCTACTTGGGCCTTCTTCTAATTGACCCAACTCAAAATGTTGTCAAAGTTTTATTCATGGCATATATACATATAGTGATACTGGAAATCCAATTTGGTCCTTGTGCTTGCAAAGCAAGCATTTTGCCACTTGAACCATGCCTCAAACTCCTTTTTGCCTCGGTTATTTGAAAATAACCAAGATTTAAGAATCAGGCCCAAGATTTAAGAATCTTGCTTTATGCCTCGGCTAAGATCTGACTACTTGTGCTTCCCTGTGTCATAAGAGATCACAAGCACGCACTATTGTGCACAGCCTTTGGTTGAAATAGTCTCTCAAACTTTTGAGGCCAAACTGGCCTCAAAACTGCTATCTTCCAATCTCTGCCTCCTAATAGCTAGGATTACAGGCTTGAGCTACTGTACCTACGTCATGGCTCATATTTTAATGGTGGTAGTGAAACTAAAATTGAAATGGGGAATGCCCTGAACCATCAAAAGCTGATTCCTTTCAGGATTGTTCCAAGGTGGGCAGGGGAATGAGTCTTTATATATCTCTGGTGACCACTCACTGGATAGGGCCAGTCTGAGAAGTTTGGGTAAAATACACTGTTCACCTCTCCTAGAAAGTCCAGGGGCCTAAAATCCCAGTCCTCCTCCCTATAACCAAAAGTGAGATATCCATTTGGGGCTATCTGGAGTTGAAGTCTCCCTCTCCAACAATAGGCTGACTTTGGGCCTAGAGTTGGCTTCGAGCTAGCCTGCACAGGGATAGATATCTGAAAGTGGGGAGTCTAGTCAAAATTAGACATTGCCTGGGGCTAGAGAAATAAGGCAAAGGTTTCATGTGTGTTTCTCCACAGATACAGAGAGGTACTACACCACTGGACAGAAGGAGCTATACCTGGAGGCCTGCAAACTGATGGGTGTTGTGCCTGCCTCCTACTTCTTACGCAACATGGAAGAGCCCCACATGAATCTCAACCACCATGGGCTGGGCCCCAAGGGTACCAAGGCCATTGCTATAGCCCTGGTGGTGAGCATGCAGGGGAAGGGGGAGGGAGGGAGAGAGGAGGACACAGAGGTTTGTCAAGGTGGCAAGGCCTTTCCTTTGGAACTTAAACATCAACCTTTATACACAACCTTTAAACCCTGGGCTCTGCTCAGCTGCTAGTTGCTTTATCCCTGTAGTTCTTGGGAAGAGCTGTTAGGTAGCCCTTAAAGTCTTAAAGTCTGTGCTTTTTTTGCACTCAGGATGTAAGGTGCCATCCTTGAAAAGTGGCTGGCTTAGGAATTAGGCCCAAAATTTAAATTCAGAGCACAGTACAAAATGCAAACCTGGCCTCTATTTCAAAGCTTGCCTTTGCTATAAATAGGTCTGCTACTGAGCCTTTCCATTCAATGTCTGCCTTTTGCAATAATTATGATTTTCAAAGACCACATTGTAAAATTCTGCAAGAATAATGTTATCACTTGGCATGGCATGGCCAAACAACCACCTGAACTTGAATTTATCATAGCTTTTATAATTATAATTGAGTGCATACAAAAAACCTGGCTTTCATCACAGAGAATTTAACAATTATATGTGAGTACAGCACTATTCATTTAGGAAGGTAAAGCACTGATGGAGAGGGAGCAGAAGCTAGGTAGAGTCATGAAAGACAAGGGCCAAGAAGGTGGATGCAGCTGAGTCCAATGATGCAGAAGTCTGAGGAGATGAGTAAGGAATTAATGCTGTGCTTTGAAATTTATCCAATTGGGAAATGAATGGCACCATTCAAAAGTCTTGTAATGTGCCCTTCTGATTTTGGCTGGAAAGTAATCACAGTCAGAACATATTTGACAGTGATTCCTCAAGGCATATGATAAATGGTGTTCATTTGAGGTGTCCAGGCTCTTACTTGGCATGGAACAACATTTATGGGCAATGTCAGGGGTTGTTTTTCCCCCACATGCTCATTCTTTATATATATATATATATATACACACACACATATGCACACACACACACACACACACATATATTATACATAGCACTATTTGGTAACAACTTGTGTGCTAAATATTGATAAGCAGTACCCAGTCTTCAAGGCAATGGGGACATCTTCCTTGTCCTTGAGAATGAATGAATTTGGCCTACCCCACTAAGTCCAGATCCTTCCACACAGCCCTGAGGGTGGCTCCTATGAAAAGAGTATCAGATAAGGCTAAGACCAAACTGGAAGAAAAGATGAAAAAACAAACAGTTCAAAGGAGCTCCTTGCAAACATCTTCATATTTCAGTTTCTTTAAGAAGCACACCACATTACCCTTAAGCTCACAGTAGGTAGTAGTCTTCTCTCTGGGGGGAGGGGGCATTATTTTAAAGAATGTTTGGCTCATCCTTGTCCACTTGCTCACCTTTTATTCCTCTAATAGAACTAATAACCCTTATCTGAATTCTTCCAGTTTCTAGCAAAACTCAGTGACATTGCTCATTTGTGTTATTTTCACCTGTCCTCTCCACTCCTCAGAATTCCTAGTCTGCATCTCTATGCCTTCTACATTAGTCCATTTTTCCATTGCTATAATGAAACACCTGAGGCTTGCTAGTTTTACTTTTGAAAAAGGAGATTTTATTTGGCACAGTAGGTTCAAGAGCATGGCTCAGACATCAGCTTGGCTCTAGGGAAGGTCTGTGGCAAGCAGCATCACCATGCTGGAACGATGTATGACAAGACAGGAAGCCAGCGAGAGAAGGGGAAGAGCCAGTAACTTTCACTAGGCCCCACCTTTTAATGTTCCCCCCCTTCACATCACCACACAGGGGAAAAAGCCTCTGAAACATGAACCCTTGGGGGACAATCCACTTTTGAACCATAACACCCTCTCATATGGAATGCAAGAGAGGGGCCAAGTGGAAGACTAGAAACCATTAGGTCACCAATCCTTTCTGTGTTTTTCTCCTCTCTCCTCTCCCGCCCCTGCCTTATGGTGGCTGAAGTCCAACACAACCATCATCAAGCTGGAACTGGAATATAACTGCATCACAGAAGAGGGTGTTCTGAGCTTGGTGGAAATGCTGCAAGAGAACTACTATCTCCAAGAATTGGTACTGTGCCATGCTCCATGGGCTCCTAACACATACACAATTCAGAAGTCACCCAAACTAAGCCAGATGCCCCTGCCTAGAATCAGGCCACCTTCTGTCTGACATGACTGCTCAGAGAAGGAATATGCATCAGAAGCTGGAGGGGGACTGTGTTCTCTGGAAGGAAATTTAACATCATTTCTGTCTGAACTTTAGAAGTCTGTAAATGGATGTTTGCCTCTGCATAGTTGCATGAAACAATTTCATCAAACAGAATATGCCTGGTGACAGGTGGTGGTGATAGCTGTACAATAGGAATCTTATACATCTAAAACTGGTTAGGCTGGGAAATTATGTATGTATTTTGCCAACATAAAATAAAAACAACCTGACCTGGGCACCATTTGGTCATACCTGTAATCCTAGCTACTTAGGAGGCTGAGATCTGAGGACTGCAGTTCAATGCCAGCAAAGTCCATGAGACTCTTATCTCAAACTAACCACCAGAAAACCAGAAGTGGCACTGTAGCTCAAAGCAGTAGAATGCTAACCTTGAGAAAAAACAAAACAAATAAAAACTCAGTTGGGCTGGGAACGTGGCTTAGTGATAGAGTGTTTGCCTTGCATGTATAAAGCCCTGGGTTTGATTCCTCAGCACCACATAAACAGAAAAAGCTGGTTGTGGTGCTGTGGCTCAAGTAGTAGAGTGCTAGCCTTCAGCAAAAGAAGCTCAGGGACAGTGCCCAGGCCCTGAGTTCAAGGCCCAGGACTGAAAAGAAAGAGGGGGAAAAAAAGCAAGTAAGACCATAATGGCTAGGCTATACAAAGTCTGTCCCATTGGCCTAAAAATATTCTGTCCATGGGTAGCCTTCTTTTTAGTGAAATGATTCATAATCTGTGGATCAATGAATGGAATTTATGCTGATTATTTACTTCAAACTAATTTTTTTATTTGCTTCATGGCAAATTCTTCAAATGAAGCTGCCTTGTTTCAAAACAAAAAAAAAACAGTCTCATCTGAAATAGACAGGGTAAACTGAGGAAATGGAGTTATTGAAGTAACTTCAGAGGAAAACTGAGACCTGCTGGGAAGTCTAGAGGGAAGCAGGGACCAGGTTTCCTCTGTCTGTCATCCTTTGCACTAATCCTAATCCTTTCACCCTAGTCTTCTGTCCCACCCTCATGCTATACTCCCTCTGAAAGTCCCCCTCCCTCTGACCTCACTAGTTAGGGAGGGCCCTTTGGTGCAATTCTTGCATATATAAACATGATTTTTTTTCTTTTAGAATATTTCCAACAATAAGATTGGATTGGAAGGGGCTAAGATCATCTCAGATTTCCTCCAGGGAAATACCTCTTCACTCTCAAAACTGAAGCTTTCAGGTGAGCCCATGGAAGGAGAGGGAGAGTGCACTGGGAATAAAGGAAGAGGAGAAGAACAGAGAGAATCCCAAAGTCTAGTTCAGGCAGGCCAGCTTCTTTCATCCTTCTTCCTCCTAGCCACACTAGCTTCCTGCTTTCCTGACAAAGCTTCTCTGATGTGCTTCACAGCACCCTTCCCTCTGTTTAAATGTCTCCACCTTCAGATCCCTACCAGGCTAGCTTGGATGGCTCACTCCATTCATGCCTCCATTCAAATGTCATCTTCTTGGAGATCCAAGAAGAGGACCTACCTACCACTTTAGCCATGCCCTGGCTTTTTATATGTGTGCTAGTCCTGGGGCTTTAACTCAGGGGCTGGGTATTCTCCCTGAGCTTTTTTGCTCAAGGCTAGTCCTCTACCACTTGAGCCATAACTCTATTCCTGGCTTTTTGGTGGTTAAATAAAGGTTAAGAATGTCACAGACTTTCTTGCTCAGGCTGGCTTCAAAGTGCAATCCTCAGATATCAGCCTCCTCAGTAGCTAGAATACAGGTGTGAACCACAAGCACCTGGCCTCTTTGGTTATTTTTGAGACAGGGTCTCACATTTATACCCAAGCCAGCCTGTGCCTCACACCACACCTGGAAAGTGTTAGGTACTCTTTATAAGCTACAGATATTCATACTCAAGGAGACATAAAGCAGATAGTAAACACAAGTTCTCCCATTTCCTCATGTCTACATATTTGCTGTAAATGCTTGTCATCTTTGTATGCCCAATTGTTCTGAAAGGGCAAGGATGGCAGGGCTACAATATGGGAGGGCAAGGGGGTCAGGGTCTAAAGTTCATTGCTAATACAGAACACTCACTACAGGAAATAACTTCAAGGAAGACTCTGCAGTACTCTTATGCCAAGCCATGTCGGTAAGGAGCTTGGGTGCAGGTGAGCAATGTGGGAATGTGCCTGGGAGACCAGGAAGAACTGCTCTAGGCATAGTGAAACAAAGCCATTTGCATGGTTTAGGGAGCTGATGAATGTTTTAGCACTTCCCACCCCAGTAAAAGCTGTAGCAAGTGGTAGAGCTTTTAGGATAGCACTGAATTCTCCCAGGCCATTGATAGTTAAACAAACAAACAGGTTTTGGTACCTAGAACCTCCATCATACTGCCCTGAAATGAGAAAATTTCAGTCTGAAGACAAAAAAAATAACTCTCTTGCAAGGTGTGGTAGTATACACTTATAATCTCAGTACTCAAAAATGTGAGGCAGAAAGATCTTGAGTTCAAGGCCAAGCTGAGCTACACAATGAAGCCTTGTCTCCAAAAACCAAAAAATTAATAAATTGATTAATGAATTAAATTAAAATAATACTCTTAGCCAGGCGCTGGTAGCTCTTGCCTGTAATCCTAGCTACTCAAGAGTCTAAGATCTGAGGATCGTGGTTCAAAGCAAGTCCAGGGCAGGAAAGGCCATGAGACTCTTATCTCCAATTAACCACCTAAAAACCAGAAGTGGAGCTGTGGCTCAAAGTGGTAGAGCTTTGAGCAAAAAAACTCAGGGACAGAACCCAGGCCTTGAGTTCAAGCCCCACATCAACAAAAATAAATTTTAAAAATGAAATAAAACTCTACCATTTGTTCCTTTAGTCCAATTACCGAATTAAGACATTGGCTCTCAGTCACAACGACTTCTCTGATATAGGAGGAGAACAACTGGGACAAATGCTAGGTAGGTTTCCATGGGGGAAGGGACCAGCCAAAGGAAGAGGAAAGGGGGCTTCTTGTACCTTTATGTGCATGTAGTTCTGAATGTTCCAATTATGAACATGGTGGTATGCTTTGCCCTTCCACTGTGAGTCACAAACTTATCTTTATTAATGAATACTTATAGGTAAGTTTTCTTTGATCCAAGTATATAACCCTTCCATATTCTGTTCTGTCTTCTTAAAGGTGTATGATGGGCTATCTTAATGGGAAAGTATCTATGATCCTATTAACATTGGCCAAATAGATGATACCAATGTATTTTGCACTTATAATAGAAGACTATGGATATTTTACTTTGTCTTTCCCAGCATTGGGGATCCTCTTGTAATTTTGTGTCTAAATAATAGAAGACTATGGATATTTTACTTTGTCTTTCCCAGCATTGGGGATCCTCTTGTAATTTTGTGTCTAAATAACTGAGAAAGTTATCTCCTGAGTGTTCTGCTTTCCATGCCCACTGATTGCTCTTAGGCCTCAACACCATGGCTCTGTTAACTCTGATGCTAGGTTCTTTGGGATATAAAGGATGCTAAGCTGAGCCCTTCCTCCATCCCAGGCTTCAATGTAGGGCTCCAGTCGCTGGATCTAAGCTGGAATCACTTCCACACACAGGGAGCTATAGCCTTGTGCAACGGTCTCCGGGTAAGACTCCCTGAGAGTGGTGTGATAAGCCCAAGTGAGGTCAGCCAGGCCCTGCCCTCCTGCCATCTTGAATCTCTTCCCCATAGAAACCATTGTGAAGGCATCCTGAGCCCTCACCAAATGCTTCTGAGTTGTTGGCTCCCTGCCATAATTCCTGCATGTGCATTTATATATATTTCTACCTGCTGAGGGCTAGGTGACATGTTTGGGGATCCTTCAAGAGGAAGTATACTTAAGGAGTGGAGAAACCAGAACCCATATGGGACAAGTCTCAAGAGTGCTTGAGACTCTTAACTCCAGCTGGGAGGGATCTGAAGTGATGGAGCAAATCTGCCTCTCCAAGGGACCACTGGGCTCTAGGGGACCAATGAATGCCAGCAGGGGATAGAAGGTGAGTACTTGTCTGGGTGAGACTTACACAACCTTGATCATGATACTCTTCCCTTCCCTGGAGACTAATGTGACCCTGAAGACACTGGATCTCTCCATGAATGGCCTTGGGAATGAAGGGGCCCTAGCCCTAGGGGAAGTCCTCAAAATCAATTCCTGCCTTTGCTACTTGGATGTCAGCAGTAACAACATCAATAATGAAGGGGCCACTAGGATCAGCAGGGGCCTAGAACTCAATGAAACCCTCCAAGTGCTGAAGGTACTTTTGGGCTGGGAAGGCCACAAGAAGGGGTGGGGAGAGTAATGAGGGCAGCAGGGTGGCAAGGCTGGACAATGTTGGAGAGAACTGTTGGGTCCTCCATCTTATACTTCCTGTATGTGCATCTTCTGCCCCTTTGTGCTATGAATCAATGTATCAATATCACCTCAGGGCTGTTCCTTCCTGTCCCACCTGGGTCTCCCACAGCCTTTTCTTCACACTGAGGTCATGGTATGTTAAGCACACAGAACTGATTTCTACTCCCCTCCATGCCACCTTCAATCTCTTACCTTCTAGCTTAGACCTCAATGACTCAATGTTACTCAAATCTAATCCTCTGGTCTTGTGTGCCTCCCCAGCCTCTAAAAGCTCCCTATGGTTTGCCAGTGAAGGCCTCCCTGTCCTCTTTCCTCCCCTTCCTCCCACACGCCACTCCCGGGCCTGCTTGAACTTCTGCTCTGCTGCAGAGCTCAGTGCACAGCAGGTCCTCAGCCCTATGGCCTCCTGCAGCTCCTAGAACTGAGCTCACTCTCCCTGCAAAATCTGCTGCCTTCATCTAAGTGATTGCAAATTGTCTAGCTTTATGCTAGTAAAGTGGTGGGCACATAGTAGATGCCAATGAATCTGGGTTAAGTGAACGGATAGATGGATTCATGGTTCATTTTTACTTACAACATGGATACTGCTGGGCAGTTTGAAAACAGATGCAGGAGGAGGCCTTCTGTTACCAGCTCCTCTCTCTGGGGCTATCATGAGCCGCACACTGCATCAACCTGAGCTATGCCACATCATCACTCACAGCCCAGCCTAACAAAAGGGGCTCCGTCAGCTCCACCCATTAGATGAGACAACTGAGACCACACAACTAGTAAGAGGCAGAGGGCAGCCAGTGATACCTGCCTTTACAAAGCCATTCCAACTCACTCAAGGTGTGGAAATTCTGGGAGGATGCCAGATATGGAGGTCCTTGTATTGAAGGAAGGAGTATGAGAAAACAGGATGAACCTGCAATTCTAAAGAACTAAAGCCAGAGCTGTTAAGGAACAAGAGGAAGCTAGGATCTGTGTGATGCAGGGAGAACAACCAGACTGGCCATTTAATGACAAAGCTGAAGTCCCAGCTACATGGATTAGAGCCAGGTATAACTCAGAGAGGTGACTAACTTCAGGGCCTAATGAAGACAAGGATTGTTTTGAGAATCTGTTTTGTTGTTGTTGTTTCATTTCATGTTTGTGTGTGTGTGTGTGTGTGCCAGTCCTGAGGCATGAATTCAGGAGCAGCAAGCTATCCCTTAGTTTTTGCTGCTTAAGGCTGGCACTCTACCATTTGAGCCACACCTTTCTGGCTTTTGTTGGTTAATTAGAGATTCTCACACTTTCCTGGCTGGGATGGCGTCCAAACTCCATCCTCAAATCTCGGCATCCTAAATAAAGAGCTAGGATTACAGGCATAAGCATCCAGCAGAACCTGAACTTTAAAAGCCTAAGATGCCTTAGACAAGTGGCAACAGGGTTATCTCTGGTTCAAACATTTTGGAACTTTTTTCCTAATTTCTCCATAGGCTATAGGTAATAAATTCTAATTTTTAAGTGTTTGAAAATTGGAAGAGGGAAGTAGAGATCAAAACTTATTAGTTTGGTCACAGATAAGGACACTTGGCTTTGCCACAGGGAGTATCTATTTATTATTTTATTTTATTTATTCAGCCCCAGGCCATGCCCTTTCCTTATCTTGAAAACTAGAAACATTTCGGAGAAGTGAATCTGCAAAAACTGGAAGCTCTTCCAGGGCACAGCCTACACTGACCTTTTTTCCCTAGACTGCACCAGAATCTGGGAAACATCTATTCATAGTAAATGCTCAATGGATCTTTCAGCCTTCTTCCTAAACCCACAAGTGAAGGCTCTGGTAACAATAACCCCCATTTACTGATCACATACTATGCACCAGGCCCAAGTCTGAATGCTCCATCTGAGATGTAACACTGGACCTCAGAGCAGCTCTACCACAGTGATAGGTACAAAGTGGTCAGGGAATTAAATGCAAGGTCAGGCAGCAAGTAAGCAGAGCTACTAGCTCCATGTGCTCTACTCTTCACCTCTATCCATGCTGTGATGGCTCCCAGAACCATGACAATAATGTCCCAAGTGACAAGGTCTGTGCAGCTAACCCTAGCTCTGGGGCCTGCTTACAAAACATGTGCTATGCCAAACACCTCATATGGTTTCATATCTTTACTCCTTTGTACTTGCCTGCCCATTTTTTTTCCTTTGATGAATCTTATTCCTCCTGGATTCTCTCATTTCTTCAGAAGTATCTGTCCAACAAGGCTTAGCTCAAGGATCCCCTCCCTGGTGCTTCATGCTCCTTTCCTCATTCCTACAGTAAACCTGTGTACCTCTGTCACCGCTCTCATATCACATCTGATACCATCTGCTTACTTACTTTTCTTCCCAACGCAACTACTGTGTTACCTTACTTGAAAGCAGAAAACCTGTCATGTCTGCTTGTGCCTCTCTTGGTGCTTAGGCCAGTGGCTGGCACATGGCAAGCCTCCAACCAATACTGGATGGATGGATGGATGGATGGATGGATGGATGGATGGATGGATGGATGGATGGATGGATGGATGGGTGGATGGGTGGATGGGTTGATGAACAGGAAAGGAGATGGGGAAGTTGGTGGGTGAGTGAATGAATGGATAGGAAGGGAGATAGGAGTGAGATAGATAAGAAGTGAGATGGACAGACAGAGGATGGATGGATGGATGGATGGGTGGGTGGATGGGTGGGTGGGTGGATGAACAGGAAAGGAGATAGGGAAGTTGGTGGGTGAATGAATGAATGGATGGGAAGGGAGATAGGAGTGAGATAGATAAGAAGTGAGATGGACAGACAGAGGATGGATGGATGGATGGATGGGTGGGTGGATGGGTGGGTGAGTGGATGAACAGGAAAGGAGATGGGGAAGCTGGTGGGTTAATGAATGAATGGATAGGAAGGGAGATAGGAGTGAGATGGATGAGAAGTGAGATGGACAGAGGATGGATGGATGGATGGATGGATGGATGGATGGACAGATGGATGGGAGGAGACATGAATTGGGTGGGTGGGTGAGACAGGTGAAAAGGGGAGGGATGGAGGGATGACAGAGTACATGGAGGGGTAGTGAGTAAGACAAGAGAAAGGATGGGTGAATGGGTAAGTGGATGGATGGACAGATATGGATGAGAAAGGAGATGGATGGGTGGGTGGATGAGTAATGAGACAAATGGGTGGACAAGCAGATGGACAGGGAAACAGGTACTGATAGAAAAGTCTAGAAAGGAGATAGTGGGTTGTGATTTGATGGGACGAAATAGAAGCCCTGCCTTAAACCAGTCTCTCCTGCCTCATCTCAGCCCCCTCCTGTCCTGCCTCTCTTCCCATAGCTTTTCTTGAACCCTATGAGTATGGAAGGAGCAGTTGTACTTATCATGTCCATCAAGAAAAACCTCAAATCCAAGATGGAAGAGCTGGACATTGCTGTGAGTAATCAAATGGTAGCTGTTTCTACTAGGCATGCTTTCATGCCACCAGCTCCAATGGCTCAATTCCCGTAGCCCTCACAGAAGTATAAAACAAAAAGACTCTCCTTTTGGTATTACTACCATCTCCAGAAGGGTCCTTTCTGAAGGAATAGCCATTGTGTCAGTAACATCACAGTGAAATAAATGACCAGATTTGGGAACCCAACACATAAACCTGAGAGCCAAAAGAAAAGGTAGAAGAGCTCCAAAATATCATTGGTTTACTACTGAATGGACTGGATCATACAATGTTCCATAATCACAGGAATTTATAGCAGACAACAAAGGTATTTTTATTATATAACTTGGCCTGTTGCATTCAGAACAGTATTTGGAGGAGGAAACCCAGCTAGGTTACTTCGGACTCCTGCAAGGGGCTCTAACCTGAATCCTCAGAGCAGCAATGGCTGATACTAACAATAGTCTATACTTGTCTGCCATTTGATGGTCTTTGTCTCTAAGCAGATTTAAAATCCCAGCTCTTTTAATGCTACTGTAGCAAGTAGGGAGAAAACTATGTTCTGTCCTAGGACTGAGGCTTAAGCAATAAAAATGCATTGTTCCTTGGAGGTGCAGCCCGGGCATCCAAGACCAAGGCATCAGGCAGACCAGTTCCTTTTGAGGGGGCTGCCAGCAAGGGGAAATTCATTCTCCACTTCTCTCCTAGCTTCAGGTGGTAGCTGGCAGACCCTGGTGTTCTTTGGCTTGTCCCTTTACTTTTCTTGGCTTTCTCCTGTGTGCATGTCTTCTCCACCAAAAATTTCCTTTTTTTTTCTTTTGTTGGTCATGGGGCTTGAACTCAGGGCTTAAGCGCTGTCCCTGAGCTTTTTTGCTCAAAGCTAGCATTTTATCACTTTGAGCCATTGTGCCATGTCTCGTTTTTTGATGGTTATTTGGACTTTCTTACCCACTTCTAACTATGATCCTCAGATCTGAGCCTCCTAAGTAGCTTGGATTACAGGTATAAGCCACCAGCACCCAACTCAAAATTCCTTTTTACAAAAAAAAAAAAAAAAGCACTGGGATTTAAACTCAAGGCCTCATGTTGGTTAGGCAAGCACTCTAATGCTTGAGCCTCACCCCCAATCCTTAATGCTTTGGGGAATTTTTGTTGTTGTTTTGTGCTGGTCCTGGGGCTTGAACTAAGGACCTGGGTGTTGTACCTTAGCGTTTTTGCTCCAGGTTAGCACTCTACCACTTAAGCTACAGCTTTTTGGTGATTAATACAGAGTTTTCTTTCCAGGCTGCTATTGAACCACAATCTTTAGTCAAGATCTCAGCTCCCATTGTTCAAAAACAAACGTCTTCTTTACCTGACCTATGTAACTGTTACATTTCTGTACGTCACTTTTGTAATAACAATTTAAAAAATTTTAAATCTCAGCTCCTTAGAAGCTAGGATTAGAGGGTGAATCCCTGGCACCTGGCTTTATTTATTTATATTTACTTATGCCAGTCCTGGGGCTTGAATTCAGGGCCTTGGCACTGTCCCTGAGCTTCTTTTGCTCAAGGCTAGCACTCTACCACTTGAGCCACAGTGCCACTTCTAGCTTCTATGTGGTACTGAGGAATCAAACCCAGGGCTTCATGCATGCTAGGCAAGCACTCTACCACTAAGCCACATTCCCAGCCCCTAGTTTATTTTTTTTAAATAAGGTCTCCAAGCCCGGTGCTGGTGGCTCACACCTGTAATCCTAGCTACTCAGAAGGCTGAGATCTGAGGATCAAGGTTTAAAGCCAGCCCAGGCAAGGAAAGTCCATGAGACCAGTAGAAAACAGGAAGTGGTGCTGTGGCTTAAGTGGTAGAGCACTTGCCTTGAGCTACAGAGCTCAGGGACAGCGCCCAGACCTAGAGTTCAAGCCCCACAACCAACCAAAATATAAAAATTTAAAAAAAGGCCTCCAGATTTTTTCCCTGGGTGACTTCAGACCATGTCCCTCCTATATCTGCCTCCTGTATCTGAGATTTCAAGTGTGAAATACCATATCTGGCCTCTAAATCCTCTTTTTATAAGGGTACAATCATCTTGGGTTAGGGACCTCATTATACCTTATTTATCTGGTTCAAAAACCTAATTCCCAAAGCCAGGCACTGGTGGCTCAGGCCTGTCATCCTAGCTACTCTGGGGGCTGACATCTGAGGATCACAGTTCAAAGCCAGCCGGGGAAGGAAAGACCATGAGACTCTTATCTCCAATAAACTACCAGAAAAATCAGAAGTGGTGCTTTGGCTCAAGTGGTAGAGCACTCGCCTTGAGCTGAAGAGCTGAGGGACAGCACCCAGGCCCAGAGTTCAAGCCCCAGGACTGACAAAAAGAAAAAAAAAAGAAAAAAAAACTAATTTCCAAATAAGGTCACATTTACAGCTACTTGGGGTTAGGACTTCTACTTCTTTTGGATAAGAAGTAAAATTCTAGACATAACAACTACTTTTTCTCATTTTCTCTTTTTACCTATGAGGAAACTAAAACACAGAGGTTAGGTAACTTTCCATAGCAACTGAGAAACAAAAGAATAACTCCAGAGCTTTGTCTCCTATTTGAGAGCTCTATAATGGTAAACCAGGTATGGTGATGCACAGCTGTAATCTCAGCTACTCAAGAAATGGAGGCAGTAGCATCAGGAGTACAAGGTCAGCCAGGGCATAGTAAGACAGTAAGGGCTATGCTCCTGGGTTCAATCCCTAATACCACAGAAAAAGAATAACAAGGCTATAGTCATTTTTAAATGCCTTTCAGGGTGGTGTTTTGTGAGATGATTGCCTTATCACGTACTAAGTGATGATATATTGAATATTTAAAGCCACACGACTTAGAAATAATTAGTAAAATCTGCATTTTTATTGGTCACAACTTAAAAGCATAGCTGCTTTCCTTTCACTGTGTTCCTTCATTCCTTCCTCCCTGATCCTTCCATACTCTGTCTGCCCTCATACCACAGCTGTGCCTTTACAACCAGGATGTTACTTGAGTCTCAGCCACAGGTCCAACATTGCCATTGCCCCTCACCCACTGGCAGGTTGGAAGGTGTAGACCCAGGTTCTGCTCTACCACTTGAGCTTCAGCTTTTGGGGTACATTACAAATGGTACCAGAAGAAAGAAGAGAAAGGGCAGGGAGGAGAAACAGAGAGAGAAAGTGAGAGAGAGGAAGGAAGGAAGGAAGGAAGGAAGGAAGGAAGGAAGGAAGGAAGGAAGGAAGGGAGGGAGGGAGGGAGGGAGGGAGGGAGGGAGGGAGAGAAAGACAAAGGAGAAAGAGGAAGGTGCCATTTACAGTCTGGAGAGCACACAAACCTCCGAGCTGTGCCCACACAGCCTCTACACTAGCTCACTATAACAAATAACATGGCTTAACGTGTGTTCATCTGTTTTCTTTGCTGTAAAAAATACCTAAGGCTGGTATTTCTTTCGTAAATTCGAGGGTTTTGAGCCAGGCCCTGGTGGCTTACACCTGAAATCTTACCTACTCGGGCGACTTCAGTTTGAAGCCAGCCCCGGAAGACCAATCTGAGAGTCTCTTATGTCTACCCCACCATCCAAAACCCCGCGGCGGCAATGTGGCTCCAGCGGGCGAAGCATCCGCCTGGAGCGGAGTGAGGCGCACGGGGTGCGGCCTTCACGCCCAGCGCCGCCAGGGGAAAAACAAATTAATTAAAAGTAAACAAATATCTTGTGTAGCTCACAGTTTTGGGGACCAAACACCTCAAGAGCATGGCACGGGTTCTGTCGAGGGCCCGGGACGGCACCCATCACCACCAGGCACGGGGGCGGAAGTATTCACGGGAGGGAAAGAACCATGAGACCGGAAGCACCCACGCTTGCTCCTTTATAACCACGCCTTCTCATGAGTTCCCGCGAGAACTTCCTCAGTTTGCACTAATCACCACCACCACCACCACCACCACCACCACCACGAACACCACCACCACCACCACCACCACCACCACCACCACCATCATCATCATCATCCAGGGCACTAAGCGTCCAACAAATGGATCTAGAGGGGGAGGAGGGGAAAGCACATCCAAACCCTAGCCCAGACCTTTCCTTCTGTTTTGTCAGCTACACTGCCATACTTCTACTAACCAGTACCAGAGTTTCTGCTTTGGAAATGCTACGAGGACCAGGATATCTACAGTTTTCAGTCCATAAAGCATGCGTTTAATTCTTTGAAAAAGTGAAGGATACTCAGAACCCCATCTAAAGGAATGATACAGATGGATCAAACTGGCAGAGGCATTCTGTCCCAGAAAACATACCTCCCCACCTGTAGCCTATAAAAACCAGCTCTGAAAGCACTTCCAAAAGGAAGTCCCCATTCATCGTTTTGAGTTATGACAGGATCGCCTTCTCTAAGAATAACACTCAGGTAGATTTGGACATTCTGGGTATTTAAGAACCATTTTCTCAACTCCAGAGATGTATCTTGCCTGCTAAATGCAGGCTTTTAAGCAGAGCTGAACCGGCAGTGTGTCACAAACCATGGGCACTCATTGAAAATATCTGATCCAAATCACTGAGTAAACCTAACAGCCAAGTCACAGGGTCTAAAACAGCACTTCTGAAGCAGGTCTGCAGAACAAACGAGCAAAGAAAAACGTTCCTGCACTTGGTGTGGGCAGGAGAGGAGAACCATGTGGTTGGTGAGATGGTAGCACAATAGCAGCTCTCTCATCATGGGCCTCTCTCTCTGTTTCTCTCCTTGCTGCAGAATGTGCTGGTAACTGAACAGTTCATTCGAATACTGGATGGGGTATGTGCCATCCACCCCCAACTGGATGTGGTGCACAACACAATGCAAGGGATCTCCACCAGGAAAACCTTCTTGAAGTGGACAAATCCTATGAAACTGATCCAGGTGAGCTCCAGCCTTCCTCTCAGAGTTTCCAGGGAGTCCTGGAGGAAGCTGGCATTTGGATTCTAGTCATCTACTTAGCCTTTCCCGGGGTGTCTGTACAATCCAATGTAACAGGGTCCCCCATGGGATTCTCCACAGTAGTGGGTAATAGTGTGGGAATCAGACTGAATGAGATTCTTTTTGGATGGGCTAGATTGAGGTGCTGGTGGGATGGCCAATGGCTGTTAAAGCTGCACACCTGGAATTGTAGGTTTAGAAGGTCTCCCCGTATGGCGGGAAATAGTGCATTCTGGAAAAGGAGATGTGGGAAAGACAAGCAGGGGACCAAGAACTGAGGACATAATCCAGGAGTTGGGCATTACAGGAATGTCCATTCATCTGGAAGGACTGAGGTTTCTGGAGTAGGACAGGAAGAGAAGCAAAAAAAAATATTTCAGAAGGACCCAAAATAATATTAATGACATTGGAAAGATGTTCAAAATGTGATACTACAGAGCATTTTGTAAAACAGTAGGAACAGTAGGCAGATTGATAGATACAGATAAATCCAAGATGGTGGGGTGGATTTATGGGTTATTTTTCATTTTCTTCTTTTGGCTAATCTAAAATTGTCTTCCAATATGAGCACTGTTTTTAAGAAGAAAACAATGAAATATTATCTTTAAAGTTGTCAAACAAAGAGCTTCTCCATATGTGCATTTGTGGTAAATGGAAAAATCCTAAGAGTGCCTAGAGTTGGTTCAACCCATCACACTTGGTGGCTATGGTTTAATCTGTGATTTCTGAGCCAACAACAACAGCCCCCACCCCAGCCCACCATTGCCCCATCTGTACTTGTACTAGTCCTAACAGAGGAAGTCTCCAAACCAAATGGGACATGGGATGACTACTGACCCTACACCCTTAATGCTACCTTAACAGCATCATCTTCCATCTATTAAGTCAATGGATAGATGGAGTAGGTGAAGCTTCTGGAAACACAAGGTCCATCATCTTGACCTCCATCGCACCCGTGCAAGGTCCTTGCTCTACAGCAGCTCTAACCTATGGGGCTTCAAGTCACTGAGTTGCCTTTTTCCATTCCTCTCAGCCTTGCTGGGCCCTGGAGCTTGGGCTGCCCTTTGGGGAATGGGAGGGGAGGTGTGGTAGCTGTGATAAGGCCACAATGGCTCCTGGTGTCTCCTGCTTCTCCTCAGAGCTATGCAGATGAGCAGAAAATCACAGTTTTGGAGTTCCTCAAGAGCTTGAATCCTACAGGATCAACGACAATGCCTGTGGGCGAGTTCCGGAAAGCTCTGGTACAGGTGTGCTGGTTACTGGTGGCTGCAGGCATGGAGGAGGAGCAGAAAAGCATGTGTGAACTTCATAAAGCTCCCTGGGATCGACTGCAGGCATTTACCTCATTTATCTAGACCCAGAGGGGACCCCAGGCCTTCAGCCCCCAGATGAAGCTATTCTCTATATCATATGGCCTGAGGCTCCCAATCACACATTGCTAGGTATGGTGGCACATGCCACCCACTTTTTGCCTTAGGCCTTTCTCCTAAGTGAAGAAGGCAACCATACCCAACATCTCCAACATTTCTACTTTGGTTCTACCATGTGGCCTGAAATCCTGCACTCCATAGGCCCATAGGCTTGGTCTGTAGTGAGAGCAGCCTGAGGCCCAGACAGAGATGGGAAGACACTGGTACCCAGGCCCATGGTGGAGAGGTCTGGCTGGCCAGAACTGGCTAGGAGGAGCATGGATGGCCTTTAGATGCTGTAAAAGAGAGTTCCATCTACTCCCCAGGGACTACCCTGGGCCCTGATCTTCCCCTTAATTGCTCCCCAGAAAGGGAGATCCTCTGAGAGTCTTGAGAGCCCCTCTGTATGCTAGTACAGTGCCCTGTGAGCCACCATGGTCCCAAAAAGAACAAGGTTTTTATGGGGGTGGGGAGTCACTGGAACTGGGGCAGCAGAGAGCTCTGGAACATACTCCATCCACTTCCTTAGCAAAACAAGGTCCCTATAAACCGTTACCAAGTCAGAGAGTTGATAAAGAAGCTGGATGAGAAGAAAGGCATAGTGGACTTCAGGTGAGCCCTGGCCTTTCCTGCTCTCTCTAAGGGACCCGGCTGGGTGAGTGGGAGGCCCTGGGATCATCTCATCTGCATTCTGAGAGTTAGAAGCCACTAGCTGCAAGGACAGCACCACCAGCCTCCTGCCTTCTCCTCCACAGTTCACTCACGTAGCATGGCTTGAGCCTCAGCATATGCTTCTGGCCACTGGGATCGAGGCTGGGACTGAGACCAGAGGAGCTCCAGCCCCACCCAGATGTGTAACAAGGGGAAAATGCTCAGACCCTGACAGGTGAGAGGAACAATGGCAGTGCATGCCAGGTGCCATTGTGGTCCGGAAGAGGCATCACTGGGGAGTGGGTGGTAACATTTCTGCTGAATATACCAAGCTGGGTAGAATGGACAAGAGGACAAAGGAATCACAAGGGTGAAGTGTGAGCCAGAATTGTGCTCTGGGAAGCCACAGGTATTTGCTCTGCTTTTGAGTAGGGAAGGAGCTAGTTAGGTTGTGACTCAGGCAGGAGGGAGGGAAAATGAAGATGGTGAGAGTAGAAATGACAGTACTGTCTACAGAGTCTGAACTGTGTGCCCAGCATGCACTGTTCACCAGGCAGGCGTGGGATCTGACTCCCACTGTGCCCTTGTCAGTACTGCCTCACTGATGATGGAAGAGATGTAGAGAAGCGAAGCCCTCCAAGATGATCCTTGACCTCAGGTCTCTGTAGTTTTAGAATGTCACCCACCACACTAGACCACTGCTCCTGAGAGGTCTGGGTCTGTAAATGGGCACCCATGGGTGCCTGGCCTATGTCTAGATTCCTCTCTGTTGTGTTTTTTTTTTAACTGTAGCATGTTATTTCATAGGATAGCAATCTCATAACTTAATCCCACTTTCATGAGGTTTAAAGTATTATAATAGTTGAATTTACATATTTTGCCAATACAAATTATTGTCACAAACATCCTTGCTAAAGGGTATTTACACTTGTATTCTTCTAAAACAAACTTGGTGGGGTATACCCAAGCTGAGTCAAAGGGTAAGCATGTTGTAAAATTATTTAAATTCAACCTTTGCTGGACACCAGTGGCACACACCTATAATTCTTATTACTCAGGAGGCAGAGATCTAAGGATCACAGTTTGAAGCCAGCCTAGGCAGAAAAGTCTATGAGCTTTTTATCTCTGGTTAACCAGCAAAAAGCAAGAGGTGGAGGTGTGGCATAAGTAGCAGAGCACCGCCTTTAGCAAAAAAGCCAAGGGAGAGGGAGAGACCCTGAGTTCAAACCTCAATACCAACACTAAAACAAATAAATAAATCCAACCCTTGCTAATCACTGAGCCAGCACTCCACCAAAGCTCCCCGCCAACACTGACTGACCATAACCCACATTCCCTGTTCTGCCAAGATGAGAGCTAATGTCTTAAATGGCATTATTTGAATGTGAGCATCAGCCACGTGGCTGGAGTCACACTCACTCCCTTCCTTTTCAAACCAGTTTCTTTCACATTTCAGAAGCCATCCGAGATTCACCTGGAAAGAAGCTTGAACAAAGAAGTCTTGCCAAGTCAACAACAGTGAAACAGAAGAAGTGACTGGAAAGCTCAGCGGACAAGCATCGTGGCCAGGGCTGTGCACAAGCAAATAAAGTCTGAGTCTGGCTTGGCTCTAGGCGTCTCTGGGCTGCTGGGCTGTGCCCTTCACTGGGTAGGGACACCTTCTGTATCTTGTGACCACCAGGGACTTATCCCTGGTGGTCTCATCAAGAGCCACAAGATAAGCTGGGAGTAGAATGGGGTTCCAGGCATGGGGAAGGGAGCCAGGGGGCCAAAGCAGTGGACGTGCGTGGTCATTGTGAAGTATCAAAGGGAAAGAGTTCCGAGGTAGGAGGCAGTGGCAGAAGAGACAGAAGTTGAGGAAAGCAGAGGAGGAGACAAACTGGGACAGGAGATTAAGAGACCTCGCCTCATGTCACGGCTGGCAACTACCAAGCCGTGTGTCCTGGGTGCATTGGTTGTCCCACGTGACAAATGGAACAGACAACATGAAGGCTGACCACTCTGCATTGAAATTGTATATTCCTTGGGAAACAGTGCCAACAGGAAGAGCTTAAAGAAGATTAGGAACAGCCAAGAACAGATACCAGTGGGCAGAACAGACCCAACAGAGGGGTTTGATGAACTTCTGCAGTCACCGTGGGCCAGCTGGGCAGGCACTGTGTCACATGCACTGTGATCAATATGGACAAGGACAAATGGCCTAGTGTCCACAGAGCTTCCCTGACAGGTCAACCCTTGCAGAAGACTAGACCCTGAGAGCTTCCTGAAGTTGAATTTCTATCCACAATGGTGAAATAGGGACTCAGAATCAAAATGAGGATAACAAAGAAAAAATAAAACAATAAGGCAGTGATGGCCAAAATTCACATCCAGTAGACACCGGATGGAAAGATGGAAATGAAGGCACGGAGGAGTTAAGCATTCTGCCCAAGCTAGGAACAAGTATTGCTGACCTTCACACACCGGCCAGTTGGCTCTGGCTCTATGCTCTTAACCACAATCCTCCTCTGCTTGCCAGAGGATCCCCTGGATCCATACGGGGAGCCACCCTGCAGGCTTCCTACTGCAAGAAATATATAAACTGATAAAGCCCCAGCCCAGCTGGACTGGCCAGTGGGTGGGAGACAGAGGCAGAGATTAGACCCTTCCAGGTGCTTTGACCACTTCTGCTTTGTCTCCCCAGGAAAAGGTAAGCCTTTGACATCCACGATGTCTTTCACTCCTCTATAACCCACAAAACCCTCCAAGTGCTGTGTCTTACCTGTTGTGATCTGGGTGAGACCTGCCCCCATCCTGAGGAGGAGACCTTGAAACATCCAAATGTGCAATTGTATGTGTCAGGATCTATTAAAAACTGTCTTTTTACACCCCCCAGATGCTTCTGTTTATCTTTTGCAGCAACTGAAAACAGTTATTCTTACAAATCTTATTTTTGCTCGTGTGGATTCTGGGTAATGATGGGCAATCACAAGGAGCTAAAATCTTCACCACCACAACCTCTGTGACCCTCCAGGTGACCCCTTCATACTGACTCCTTCTTTTCAAGTAAGTGAAAGTCCCAAACTAGCCAGCAGTGTCCCTGAAGTCTTTCAAAAGTCCTTGCGAGGGCAGAGCTCTAAGCTGCAAGGGAAAAGTTCTTAGACTTGGAGTTGGCCTTGCCCTTTCTCCAACTGACCCCTCTGTAAACCTGAACCCTAACAGTCCAGCAGTCTCCTCCAATACCCCAGGTTCTCTCAGTGAGTGGGGCTTACTCATGTGCCTTTGTACTGAGGAAACACTGTGTAATGTGTTGTTATGCCACTGAACTGATTTAGATGGCCCTAGACAGCTTCAGGATGAGAACTAGTCACCAAAGACCAACCAGTGTCTGCAGATGAGAGCTCTAACCCAACCCTCAAGATCCTGGGCTAGAGATGGAGTTCAATCACTTGGCCAGGATTCACTCAGTCATGGCTATCAAAAGCATTCTCATCAAGCCTGGGACACCAAGGCTTCCTGAGTCCCTGATTAGGAGGAAGGGAGCTTCACCCTCCCTTCCATGTCTTTTATTTTTAGTGTGTATGTCTCAGTGTGTGCACACGCACATACACATGCATGCTTGAGCTCCAGGCCTTGGCTGTTACTTAGATTTTTCTGCTTAAAGCTGGCACTCTACCATTTTAGTCACATCTTCACTTTCAGTTTTTTGCTGGTTAGTTGGAAATAAGTGTTTCTTGGATTTGTCTGCCGGGGTTGGCTTTGAACCTCCACCCTTAGATCTGAGCCTCCGGAGTAACTAAGATTACAGATGTGAGCCACAGTGCCTGGCTACACTTTGCACCATGCGTATCTTCATTTGGCTATTCTCAAGTCGCATGCTTCAGAACACTGTAATTGTGATCATAGCACATCCAGTGAGTTGTGCATCGGTCTAGTAAGACTAGCCAAACTGAAGTTGCAGCTTCCCTCAAGTTTGTAGCAGACCTGTCAGAACACAGGTGTCCTGAGGACCCCAACCTGCAGCTGTGTCTGAAGTAGGGCAGTCTTGAGAAAGAAGGATCTCTTAAGCCAGTCAAATCTGATGCCACCTCTGGTGTGGGTAACATCACAATGGATTGTGGTATTGCCCTGTGGTGGGTGGAACTGAGACACCTGTACCCAATAGCATTTCTGTTTAGAGATGTAGTGTGTACGTTCCAGTGCAAAATCAGCTTCCCTTACCAGCCCGTCAAGCTGTGCCACTCCTGGTTATACTCCTGTTTGACCAGCAGAGGACAGTACAGCCCCACAAGTCTAGCATCCTCCAAAGCTTTTCCAGCTGCGGAGGTCCAGTGCAAAAGGCACAGAAAATGGAAGAAGCACAGAAAATGGAACCAGGACACAAATTGGCTCTGGAAAATCAGATTCTTACTAGAAAGGCTCCTGCACCCAAAGGCAGCCATACTTCTGCCTTCAGCACATGGACACGGGGCAGGAGTGGAGGGAGGAGGGAAAGATCAGAGATGGGGACAGAATCTTTAACGGGCCTAGAAAACAGATTCTCTATAGACACTAGTAGCTCATACCTGTAATCCTTGTCACTCAGGAGGCTGCGATCTGAGAGTCCTGGCTCCAAGTCAGCCCTGTCAGGAAGATCCATGAGACTCTTATCTCCAATTAACCAGTAAAATGCTGGAAGTGGAGCTGTGATTCAAGTGGTAGAGCACCAGTCTGGAGTGAAAAAGCTAAGGGAAAGAATGAGGAGGGAGCCGGGTGCTGGTGGCTCACGCCTGCAATCCTAGCTACTCAGGAGGCTGAGATCTGAGGATTGCAGTTCAAAGCCAGCCAGGGCAGGAGAGACCTTGAGACTCTTATCTCCAATAAACCACCAGAAAACCGGAAGTGGCACTGTAGCTCAAGTGGTAGAGTGCTCGCCTTGAGCTGAAGAGCTGAGGGACAGCACCCAGGCCCAGAGTTCAAGCCCCATGGCCGACAAAAAAAAAAAAAAAAGAATGAGGAGGGGAGACTGAAAATGTGGCTTAGTGGTAGAGTATTTGCCTAGCATGCATGAAGCCTTGGGTTCCTCAGTACCACATAAAACAGAAAAAGCTAGAAGTGGTGGTGTGGCTCAAGTGGTAGAGTGCTAGCCTTGAGCAAAAGAAGCTCAGGGATAGTGCCCACGCCCTGAGTTCAAACCCCAGATCTGGGATGGGGGGGCAGGGGGCGGGGGAGAGCATGAGGGAGATAAATCAAAAATGACCCATTCTTTTAAACCCAACAATGTCATAAGCATCAAATCGTATAGGTCTTGTTGCCAGGGGGCTCCCTGCAACCCCGACTGTTACAACTCTGCAGAAGGGAGGTCGGGGCCACCAGCCAGCACCCCTTTCCAATGAGAGGCTTGGCTGCTTCCTGAGCAGACAGCCGGCTCTCCATGTTTCTTCCCATTGCTGGCCCCAGCTGTAAATACGCTGGGATCAAGGGAGACACGGTCCTAGCACCGCCGTGCCATCCCCAGTGTTTCACACTGTGAAAGCCACAGCCCCCACATGCCTTTCTAGGATATGAGAAAGATGTTCTTTCTGACATCTGCAGGGAAACACTTTGCATGTACATCCTCCAAGAGAGAACAAACACTTCTACTGCAGTGTGACTCTAATTCAATTTTGTACACACTTATTGCGGGCTTATATGTGTCCAATGTATTTTAGATATATCGGTGAGTTAAAAAGACAAAGCCATCTCTTAATGGAGTTTACATCTCAGCAAGAGAAGACAGCAAATGAACAAGCAAATATGCAGTGTGTCCAGCTGGCTGTGGGAAAACCGAGCCAAGAGAGCTGGATGGAAATCACGGGTGAAGAGCTATTCACACAGAACAGCCTTGGCAAAGGTCTCAAGGCTGGAGTGTGCCTGGGCATCTGAAGACAAGCATCCAAATGTTGGAGAATTCCAGGTGGGAGGTGCTAGAGGCCAGAGAAGGACAGAGAAGAGAAGGGGATGAAGCCTAAGCTAAGGGAAATCTGGCCACAACCCTGTGCAAAGTGTGGCAGAACCAGGAGAGAGGAGAGGGAGCCTCACAGCTGGAACTCTGAGCACCATTGAGGAAAATGGCCCACCAACAAAGACTCCTCCATAGCCCTTTCTGAGGACAGTGGGGTGCAGGAGGGAGAAGAAAGGTCCTTGAGTCTGAGCTTCTGCTGGAGGAGTATGATTGAGACAGAGCAGGCAGAGGAGTAGAGGTCTAAATGGTACCTAGAAACTGCTTTCTGCTGAAAAGCACTGACTCTTCTCAGGCTGGTGAATTAATGGAAAGCAGGGGAAAGCTTGACATCCCAGCCTCCACTTTCTACCCTTGTCCTTTGCCTGTGGGCATCTTGGAATCCAAGAAGGCCTAACTGAACTATAGAATAAACCCCCTGTGATGAACAGAGGAAGAAGCTCCCCTATTCTTCTTTAATAACTTTTGTATTGTAGCCAGGCCCTATCTGAAGAATTCTGAGATAATGAGCAACCATATGTTAGACCACTTCAACACATCTGTAACTGGGACTGTTTAATAAGCATGCATTCCTCTCTCAGCCTGCCCCCAATTTCTTTCTCTATTCAAGCCTAAAAGCCAGGTCGCCTTGGTGGCACACACCTGTCATATCAGCTACTTGAGGGGCAGAGGTCAGAAGGATCACAGTTTCAGTCCAGCCTGGTAGAAAGGTAGTAAAACCCCATCTCAACCAACAAGTCTGGTATGATCGTGTATGTAGTTATAATTCCAGCTATGTTAAGAAGCAGAGGTAGGGTAATCTAGATCCAAGGCTAATCCCTAGCAAAAGCACAAGACCCTATCAGAAAAACGAACTAATGCAAAAAAATGCTGGGCTATGACCCAAATGGTAAAGCGCCTACCTAGAAAGAATGAGATTTTTGAGGTTCTGGTATTCCAGTACCATCCAAAGCAACAATAAAAACAAACAAGTAAAAACCCTGAAACACATCTTGTACAAGTTACATGCATATGTTGCCTCTTCCTGCAACCTGCCTGTGCCACATTACTTTAAATCTCCTCTTGCTGCCTCCCGCCATTATTCATCTCATCTCTTTATTTGGCATATTGGGGTGAGTGGTATCCTTGGAGTTTGGCTCGTGACCTAAAACTCTAATTATATACAGACTCACCATTAGGGCTTCATTCTGGCTTAAGTTGTGTGGTCACATCAGCCAACAACTGTCCAGGGCCATCAGACCTCTCATCTCTGTCTCTAAGAGGAGGCAGCCGCTCCCTAGACTACATCTGCCCCTCCCACTTGAGTCACTAGGGAAATTACCCCATATGACAGTAGTCACCAGTCTTGCAGCAATGCCATTATCATGCAGGCTCATGCATGTCAGGGTTGGTGAGCAGAAGAACAGGGGGATTATGGACTTGGCACTGGATAAGAGGAAGAGCTCCATGGTAAGGCAGGTGCTAGTGTATATGATCTCCTGCATTCCATCTCCAGCATGGACTGAATATAAGTAAAATCCTAGTCCATCATTCTGGCCATATGACAGGACACTAATTTCTCTGAGCGTTTTTTTGTGTATAAGTGGAACAGTAGCATCTGCTTCTCAGGACGATGGTGCAGAATAAGATGATAAAAAGAAAAGTGAATCGTGAATTCTGTAGCTGAATAGCAGCACCGCTCATTCTCAACACGTATCTTGAAAGATGGATATGTAAGGAGGGAGACATTTTTCTCCACTTCTCCAGCTCTGTCTCCTCCCCACTCTTCACCCCTCCTTTGGAAGGCGGAAGCCTTCACTATGGATTGGATGTTTTGAGTGTATCCCACTCCCCCCGCCCCCCACCATGTGCTGGAAGTTTGGTGGCCACATTGAAGGGTGATGGAACCTTTAAGAGGGGCAGCCTAGTGGGAGGGCATTAGGGCATTAGGAGAATCACCTTCAGAAGGGATTAATGCTGGTCTCTAGGAATGATTTAGTTCTCTCAAATGTGGGTTGGTATAAAAAGAATGAGACTTGTCTCTCTCTGAATAGTGTTTTTCTGACTTATCACACCCAC